TGGTAAATCGAGGCAATGCTGATTGATTTAATGTAAATTATGGTTAACTAAATGTTTTAGTAAATAGCAGTAATTAATAGGTAGCAGCAATAATAAAAATAATATATAATCAATATATTATAACATAATTTAGATGAAATATCACTCTGTTACACAGTCAAACCCTTTTCGAACTGAATTTTATTACGTTGATTGGTTTTCAAATAAGCTGAACACATTTTTTTTGTACATGTCCATCGTTTATGTCATTAGCTAAGTTTTTTTGAAATCCAAACTTAAAACCATCACATATTATAATTGTTTTACTCTTCTCGCTGATCACGCTGATCACGCTGATCACGTTCATTTTTATAAGATATATTATGTACGACTTACAACATTGTACTTATAAAGGTATGCTATAATAACGTGTTTTTATCGTAACACTAGGGCAAACAAAACTGACTGTGTTGAACTGTTGAGTAAATGATTAACTGATAATAACTGATTTATAAGATTATTGTATTCGAAAAAATAATCGGTCTGGGAAATACTGTATGTCTTAAAAAAATAATATTTTTGAACATTACTGAATAATATAATAATAATATCATATAAAAATTGATAGTACACGTAAAACTATAGATATATTAATTAATATAATCCAGGTAGGTTATGGGAGGCAATTCGAGCAGACCGTTTGAGTATACTCTAATCGATGCTGAAAACACCCGGAGGCAATTCGAGTAAAAAAAGGTCACCTACCTAAATTTTGGAGGCAATTCTATTCAGTGTTCGGACTCATCTAGATGAATATCTAGGTAATTATTTGTTCATTTTCTGTCTTATCTAGATAAATAGTTACAATAGGTATCTAAACGTTCATCTTATATCATTTTTTTACCACTCGATATACGATATACGATATGTACAGAGTGATAGTTTTTTGAAAAACGTCATCATTTGTTATTTGCAGGCTTATCATATACCTAGTCGTTTTGTATATTTCTATATTTCTATATTCTGTGTTTTTGTGTTTTAGACGAACGACGTTCAGCTCTGGTGGGACTGACAAATTCACTCGAGTGGATCTTCCGGCACCGCGTTTCCGTCGCCGTAGCAGCTCCCGGAAAGGCACCTGGAGACGTCCGTCTTTCCGTCCGGAAAACGTGGCCGCCGATCGATGCGACTTTCCACCTCCGCCGCCGCCAGTGCTAAACGTGGGCCCGGCCGCGTACGACAAGTGGCAGCCACCTACTTTCTTCACGGAAAGCGTGGCCGCCCTTCGCTTCGGGTTTCCGAGACCGCCGCCGACGCTGCCGGTCCGAAACGTGGGCCCGGTCGCGGCCGCAGGCTATTACGTGGGCCCGGCAAGGTTCGCCGTGAACGTCCACCCGCCCCTTCCTTGTGGAGTGGCCCCGTCGATGTCCACTTATCCGCCCCCACCGATGAGTCGATGGTGAATGTGTGATAGCGATAAGTGATAATCCGTTTATCTATAAATAATACAATTTATTAGTCACTTAAGATGCAACACCTCGGTTTTTTATTATTAGAAAATGCCGATTCTGATAATGTTGTATGTATAACCCGTCCAGTTCATCTTGGCTCAAAAAACTATTTAGTATTTACTGATGATTACTGTTATAAAAATATATATTGTAATAATTAAAATCTAATTGTTGTTACTACTCACTTGTCAAAAAATACTTTCACTTAATAATTCTAATTTCTATTAATTGCTATTAGCTATACTGTTGAAGTGAGCTTTTAAAGCCAAAAATTGTTCTAGTATACTTTTGAATTTTGATGCAACCATACCAATAGCTAACCAACGAGTGATTATGATAGTGAATCAATTTAGGTGAAGACTTTCCATCATACAAAGCTTCATACAAACTTTTATTCGTCAGTTATCTCAAACAGCTGTGTGAAAACCAATTTCTTGTCTATCGAACAAAAAATTCTAAACTACTATAGGTACTTCTTTGCATGCATGGGCTAAGCAAATGTCAAGCGAATGACAAATACATTTAATAAGCTGAAGATCTGGTATTAATTCTTTTAATAGTGTACACAATGATTTTTTCTCACCATGTCTATAAGAAAATATTACAATTGAGGGAAACATAAAATTAATCATATAATATAATATTTATTTATTTTCGTCATAGTAACTACCAATTTTTCTAAACTGCTTGTATAAACTACAATTATAATTTGAAATATTTTAAAAATATTATATTATATTAATCAATACAAATTCGAAATGAGTTAAAAAATAATATTAATTTATGTAAAAGTTTATAATATTATTATGTAAACTCGGCCCGTGTTTCATTAATAAGACTAAAATAAATTTCTTAGTTCTTACCAAATCATATATGTCGGAGACTACCTCCATTTGTAGGAGTTTACTATTCCCCCTATAAATTACGTTTTGCATTAATTATCATTTAATGATATACTATAAATTACGTATTAAATTTATTATATATTTTGTTTTGCGGTATTTAATTATTTTAGGTTATCGCTTTCCATTATACATGCAAATACTTGAAAATTAAAAGCTATCGTTTGGTGACATTGTCAAAGTTTTAGGACAGCTTGGGTGGGCCAACTTCTTGACTTTGACAGCTCTCACTGGTCACCCAAGTTACTTGCAATTATTATTTATTTCTAAAAATGGACTTGAAAATTGTTGTTAATCATTAGCTTTCGTTTGATACTGATTTCAAAGTTCTGGGTCAAAATGGATGGAGGACTACGTGAAGTAGGTCCATTGAATGTTTGGACTTGCAAATTCTAAAAATAGACTTGCAAATACTTGCTTATAACTTAAGTATTTAGGTGTGCCTACTTCACGAACGTAGCACAAACGAGGGGAATCGCAGCTGCACAAATCATCACAAACGAAAAAACCCCGAATTCAAACTCAAAATGTTTAATGGGCGTTGAATAATTTAATTTAAACAAAAAACTGCCAATATTCACATAGGCCCCATAATGGGCGTGCTGAGGACATGCGGTATAAATATTAATACCGTAATAATGTAAAAATAAGATTTCCATAATCCATACATTTATTTATTGTATTTTTTTTTACCATCGTGTGACAGAATTTCACTTACAAACTACTTTCGCGTCATGACTCGGACGACCGGAATGTACGTTTTTATATGGCCTTACGGGCGACGGGTACCTATACTGTATATAAGTAGGTTTATCGTACATCTTAAATAATATTCATTCGTAGAGTAGATAATAATATGGTAAATGATAATTATTCAATATACATTATGTTTTAACTGGTTTTCGGTTTCTCCCGATGAGTCTGTTTAGTAAATTCACGTTAACACGTTTTGCAGCTAGCATTTCAACGCCGTAATAGGTACACATTAAAGTTATTTAAAGATAAGACTCTATATGAAAATTTAGTAAAGTGTCTACAATGATCCAAGTTAATATTTTGAAGCACAACCAGTTCCCTATAAAGAAATGTATCTATATAAATATAATACCATTAGGTACGTTATAATGTACCTACCTATTGTATAGGTGTATCATATATAGAGTCCGGATTTATATTCTGTTAAAACGTTTGAAATATGATGTTTATATGCAGTTGAAATTTATGAAATATTCCTAAAAATATTCTTAATATTCTCAAAATATTCTTAATATTCTCAAAATATTCCTAATATTCTCAAAATATTCTGAAAAATATTGATAATAGTAACTAATAAGCAAAAAATATAAATAATATCTTAAAACTTTTTTATTTGTTATTTAGTTATAACTTATATTAAACATGCAATATGATAATTAATTATGATTATGAATTTATAATTTATTATAATTTATATAATTATTAATTAATATTGTAGTTTCGAGACTCGTGGCCTCATGCGGGTATTTCATTTTATCAGTACCTATATGTATATAAATATATTTATTTATGACAAACAATATTGACTATAGGAAACTATCGAATCAGTGACTACAAATTAAAAATAAGTTCAAAACTCAAAAATATTTATTTAATATAATCCAATATAGCAAAAATATGCTAAAATATTCTATAATATGTACCATAAACTAAAATATTCTGAAATATTCTCTGAAGTCAAAATAATATGCACTAATATGCAAACAAAACTTTTTTTGACAGATTCTACAGGTTATGAAATACAAATATTTTTTACTCCCATTAAACAGCATACGCTTGTTAAAAATATGTTTTTGCATAAAAATCCGGACTCTAATCATATATATAGGTACCTAATATAAATAAAATGTTCATTTCTGAAATATACCTGTATTATACGCAAGAATACAGGTATAACTACAGATACAAAATATGTATTAATGTAACAATATTATAATAATTGTGGTTCAAAATGTATTTATGTAAAAATTACATTTTAATTATTAAAAATAAAAAAAATAAGCAGCTCATACATTATGCATGCTAATTGTATATAAAAGATAGTTAGTGAATATTAATTAGAATAAATTATTATGGTATAAACCTGTGTATACCTACATATTTAATTATGGAATTGCACAAAACTTGTTATTTATATTTTCTTTACAACATACTTTTAGTAGTTTATTGGAAATGAATAAAAGTGAACATTAAAATTCAAGAAAAATATCAATTAACCAATAATATAACATTTTTTTGTTAAATTATTAGATATGACTTACCCATTTTTTAAATAAATATAATATATACTATGTATTTAGACCAAATATAAATTATTTGACTAAAATATAACGTACTTAATATAAAATTTTATAAATCTTATTTTTTGATTATTAACTATTATTTTGTTAGTATAATAACCACAAAAAACAAAAACGCAATATTTAAAGACACAAAAATAATAATTTTTTGTAAGCTTTAATGCCTATAGTCTTAATATACATGTATAATATAATAATATCTACATAATATTATATTCATATTGCATTTAGAAATCATTATAACTTTTATGAGCACTGAACCAGTGTCACTTTTATGGCGACCCAGAGATAGTGATCATTTGTGTCACATCCCTGTAATCCATTGAACTCTTTCCGGAAGTCCATAATAACATTGTTCTTGGCCACAAATATAATAAATATATACCTATACTCCTTGTAGATCGGTAATTGAGTTTATAATTACCTTTTTGATCCCTTTAAATTGGAATAAATGAGATAGCATATAAAATAAAAATGGCATTCCAAACCAATTAAAAGTTATTTTAGATCAAATTAAATAATTTTTGACCAACAAATCAAAAATTATTTAGAAGATTTGTATTAACTGTGTAATTGAAAAGACAGAAAGTTCTAACTTTAAATTTATCAAACTTTTAGATTAACAAGTAATAACGTATTATATTACCTATACCTATAATATTTTGTACTAAGTTAAATAAGTAGATTTTCTTTATCTTCATATTATTAGATGCTTATCACTTATATTTTGACTTAACTTAAAGAGATTAATGATTACAGCATAGTAAATTAATTTAAGTGAAACTACATTAAGTTTTAAATGACACAGTTGTGCGCATGCTGCACACAAATTATGAAGCTTCCTGGTTTATTATAATTAATAAAGGTATTAGGTACTACAATAAAATATATAGGTACCTGCCTATTTAAGAAATTCATAAGTACTCTAGGTACTCCACGATTTCAACTATATTTATAGTGAAGGAGTTTTAAATAATGAATATGTAGGTACCAAAAGTACTCAACAGACTATAAAAGGTATGTGTCCTATGTGAATGGATATTACCCTTTTGTATTCTTACCTCTCTTTGTAAACAAGCAATATTCCTGTTTTTGAACCGGTTTGTCTGAATTTATTGAGTTCAGATTTAATTCTTGAACAATGAATATCAGTTAGTAAGAACAAAATTAAACTGGCAGTCAGCATACCACAGGTGGGTAGCCAGTAGAAAATTAAATTTCCGTAGTGATAGATTCCTGGAAAAAAATATCAATTATAAAATATTAATTATATTATGATAACCATGCAATATATAAGTTTAATATAGAAAACTGGCCAGTGGATCCGATGTTCATTCAAAGTTATATCGCAAAATGTTAAACTTTATACAGACACCTATATACCGTCGATTATTTGTTTTTTTCCCTTTACGAATGCAACAAAATTTTTTTTCAAAACCATTAAAATAAGTAAATAATGTAAACATTACTTTTGAAAATATAATATATACATAACCAATATTCTTTAATCAAAATTAAATTAATAATTTAAAATTGTAGGTAACAATGTTTCCTACCTCTCTTTGAACAACTATCTGTTAAACTACTTATAATGGTGTATGATTTTTGTTTTGTGTGAGTAGATAGATAATAATATTGTTTTGAGACAATAATTAGACAAATCGATATGTTATTCCCCCAAAAATATTATTTTCCATCTTTTTGAAGGGGAATTTCCTCTAAAACTATTTAAAAACATAGAAAGAATGATTCTGCGTTAATGCGTTTTGTCTATGTTGAGCGTGGTACAGAGAGAGAAAACAAATAGTGCGCTGACGCCTGAAATCCTCTTAGGGACTTTCACAACAACAATTCATATTTTTCTAGCGTCAGTTGTTGGGAGTATAGCATAAGTGGCAACTATAGCACAAACACGGTGGGTACTTTCTCTGCGTATAAAATGTATTGGTAAATATATCTATAATCTCCATAATACCTACTTAAGTTTAATAATATTTATGGACATTTTTACAAAATATATTATACCACCCTTCACCCATCCCTTAAATTAGGTCTGGAACTTGAACCATGTCCCCGGCACCACCGTGTGTATATACAAGCACAATCAAAATTTTGCCAATCGGTACCACTACTAACCTCCACCATCCCTTTCCGGCCAAATAACTACGGCACCAGCTGCAGGTGTCGATAGGCTCTGTATAAGCACTATACTCAACTTTAAACTTATACATAGGACGCCGTGGACTTACTTGGAGTCGAGGTCGCCGACGAGTATATTATATCCCGGGTCGCAGCACTTGTTGCCCCGGGCCGCAGTACTGGTCACGTGGCCGGCACGTCCGGTCCACCGGCTCTCGCTGGACGACGTCAGGTCGAAGCGATAGTTCTGGCGGCAACTCGATGGGCGACGAGTGCGCCTCCATCAGCCCACGCACCTCCATGGCCGGCATGTCGACTAGCACTTCCGCGGCGTTGCAATATGGCTATATGCCCATCATTGGACATATCCAACGCCACATTGGCTGTCGCTGCAGCACCCTCCTCTCGGACTTGCCGCCGTGCCCTTCCGGTCTGCCGTAGAACCGCACATTCCGGATCGTACAGCCGACAAATCACTTCCTGGCCGGCACGATATCATCCATGGGAGACTGCGACTCTGCCGCCGATCGCGACAACGAGAAATGCGACGGTGGCGATAAAACACGATCGGACGGTGCTCATTGTGTGCGCACACTGTTCGGGCGGCGGCGGCACATTCACTTTCTCGACTGTCGGCCGCCACGTATGTATTCCAGCAATGGAGACCATTCGACGAGCCGCCGCCCCACTCTTATATAATATTATATTATTGGTTTTCGTTGCCTAAATTTTACCATAGATTGTGCGACGAATCACGATTATTATTTATGTCATAATGTTAATATAAATTAATAATAAATTGTCAATATTATCATTAAACCCCTATATATTATTATGTCCTGGCGGGTTATCGCGTAAATTATAAACATAACAAAAACACTTCGTCGAATTCCGTTAAAAAAAAACGGCTAAGTAAAAAAACCACATCTTTAAGCACTGTATAAAGATGTGATATTTATGTGAAACATAATGCCTAGTAAATTGAACTAAAGTACATTTATTTTGATTTAATAGTTTATTTACTTGGCGAGAATTATTTTGAGTAGAAATGTACCTACATTATAATATATTTTTGTTTCGTTATAATTTACGCGATAACCCGCCCGGAAATAACATATTTAATAATAATATTGACAATTCATATAACCTAGGTATTATGATATAAATAATAATCATAATTCATTACACAATAATATTATAACATTTTGGCAACGAAAACCAATTTATTATTACATTTTTATAACTATTACCCCTCAATAATTTTTACTTCCCCCGTAAATATATCTTCGGTTATAGTTACAGGTTGTAAATATATACTAGGGTAATTACTAATTTGACTTCTTCTGGGGAGAGATATATCCTACGATATTTTAAATTTTTATTACCACCTGTAAGATAACACTGGAATATTTTTAGCCCTCCGGGTGAATATATACGAGGATAAAATATTTACCCCCCGGAAAACTGTAATTTTTTTTGGGGGGGGGGGGTTAAATATACTAGTCTTTAATTAACGACAAGGTAAAAATACCCTAGGCTTTAATTACAGACCTACGATGATATACTTACCCCCTGTTAAAATGATATACTTTATACAAAATACATCGAAAATACAGAAATTTGTAAATTATTTTGTAATTCATAAAATGTTTAGTACTAAGAGGAGACGTCACACCCGCGAATCTAGGGAAAAAAATCCCCAGAAAAAAAATCCACAAAGCTATAATTAACCATATACTGTTAGGTACAGCTGTCAAAATTAATAATAAAAAGGTGGGCAAGTGGGTGTAGCTCTGCTGTACAGTAGGTTACAAGGGGGACACTGTATAATGGATGATATTAAATTTGAATTCAACGATATAATGTCATTGTATAAGAAAAACGATTCTGAGCGGAGACGGTATGTCAGTTTAGGTATACGACATATTATATACATATCTATGGTACTAAACCAACATTTGACCTATAATAGGTAGGTACCTATAATAAATTCCAAATTAATCATATCACAATATCCCTCATAGATATATAATAGTACACTTAAGAAGTTTCAAGTACCCACGAATAATATTATTCAATCACAACAAAATAACTAAAATAGTAATTCTAGGTTTTAGATTCTGAGTGAAACGATGAATGTATTGATTTTACAATGATGTGTATTTTTTTATTTTTTATTTTTGTGTCTGTGTACACGATAAGTAGTCGAAATAATGCTTAGATTTTCGACTTCAGTATCTTGTTCAATTGGAAAGTGAATATCGTTGGTGCATTGGGGAGGTCAAAAAATTTAGTATACAATTTTATAACTTAGCCGGTGACCTTAAAATTATAACACTTAATTAGTAATTTATAACAATTAATTTATATAACACTTAATTAGTATCACTCATTTTCAAAGATAACATGTATACTCAATACGAAATGAATTCTCATGAGTTTTAAATAATGTCACCAGCTAAGTTCAATTTATAAGCAGTGAATTTTAACATAAATTATAATAATATATCTATTTCTATATAGTTTAAATATACATAGATAGAAGGCTCATAATATATTGTTTCAAAGGCAGATGAGAAATATTAAAAATCCTGAGTCACAATTTTTTTTTTATAAGCATTTAAAGTTCAAAAATTGACAAAATATGGAAAAATCACGAAAATTAGCAAATTATTTTGAGTTAAGAATTCGTAAAAATTTTTATTTTTTGTTATGTAATTTCGTCCAAATTTGAATTTAAAATGGCTGTAAAAAATAACTGTGTTCATATATTTTTCAGATTTTTTGGTTACAGTATGAACTATTTATGAGAACCTTTGTTTTAGATTTGTAATCCTTAGCTATAAAAACTGAACATTTTATAATTTATTAATTACAATGATTGATAATTTTCAAGATTTGATAAATTTTGTCAAAATTCGATCTTTAAATGCTTATAAAAAAAACCGTGCCTATATACTTTTAATATTTTTCAACTGATATTGTAACAATATATCAGGAGCCTTGTATTAAATTTTTCACTTTTTGGTCAACAGATAAAACTTAATTGATATTTATAGAAAAAAAACTAAAAAAATTTAAAAATGAAAATGACCGTAAACAGCCCAAAAAGAGTCAAAATATTTTCTAAATTGTATGGTGTATAGGAAATGCACTCTACAGTTATTCGTTTTTGTATTACAACAAAATAAGGAAATCGCTACATGTGAAATCGAGAAAATATCCAATGTTGTAAAAATTTGAATTTCAAACGCTCATAAAAATTTAATTTTACTTTCTTATAAACATTTTTTTTTGATAAAGGTAGATAACCTTATAAGAAATCTTGTATTACATTTTAAAATCTTAGATTTAAAAAGAAAAATTTTTACGAATTCTTAACTCAAAATAATTTGCTAATTTTCGTGATTTTTCCATATTTTGTCAATTTTTGAACTTTAAATGCTTATAAAAAAAAACTGTGACTAACGATTTTTAATATTTTTCATCTGCCTTTGAAACAATATACTAGGAGCCTTCTTTTAAGTTTTCAAGTATTTTTAACCAACAAATAACATTGTATTAATATTTCTAGAAAAAAAACTAAAAAATAATGAAAAATGAAAATGTGCCTAAACAGTTCAAAATAAATCAAAATATTTTGAAAATGTTATCGGTGTATAGAAAATCCAAATATAAACAACCAGTGAAAATGTCATGTATCTACGGTCATTTGTTTTAAAGTACACCAAAAAACCAAAATCGATTTAGCTTTTATTGATATTTTCCCGGCGCTTGTGAAAACTACTGGGAAATTTATACTTTTGACCCAACCAAAGTACCAACTAGATTCACTTTCCTACCAGAAAAGCTACTGATGAAGAAAATCCAAGCACTTTTACTGTCCTAAAACGTGATGACAGACACAAAAATATAAAAAAAAAACATACATCATTGTAAAACCAATACATTCATCGCTCCGCTCAGAATCTAAAATGTTTTTGTAGTTTGCACTTCGAAGGGATACATTTTACTGTAAAAAAAGCTGACCTCCCAAAAATTCGACTTTTATGAATAAAAATACTTAGAAAACATTCTGCTTAGGAATATGAAATTAAAACTACTCTATGATGTAATTCAAAAAAGTAAAGAACTTAAAAAATATAAAAAAAAAAAATATTTAAAAATATAGTTTTTAATAAAAACGTTATTTTTTAACAACTTGAAACTATGTCAAAAATATTTTCAAAAACATTAATACTTTTTGAAATAATGTTTCATGAAAAAAGAATCACACTGTATACATGAATTATATAATAAAAGTTAATACCTATAAGTTTATCAGTATATAATTACTGATCATGGTAATATCAACAGTAAAAATATGAAGATCTATATATATATTATATATTTTAAGTATTTTTACTCCTTCTTGGACTTGTCAAAAATCTCCTAAGGCCGTATATTCAAAAAGGTATATAAATAGCAATTATTATAATAAAGTCGTGTGAGAAATTCCTACACATCAGTAATGTACGAACAAAAGAAACAAGTCATGATTAATATTATAATTGAATAGGTCCATGGACCATATTACCTACTTAGTATGGAGTATATTAATATATTATGGTATTATATAGGTAGTTAACTATAATGCGTATAGCATATTTATTATATTATACCTATTGCTAAATAGGTAGTTTATTATCCGATTATAGATATCGATAAAATTCCTCTATGAAATCAATAGTTAAAATATCAAAATTGAAACTTTATAATATAATGATTCATTTATATTGAAATTAAAATTAAAATCAATAAGTTAAATTTCAAAATAATAAACTGATAATTTTTATTAAAAAATCAATTAAAATTGTAAAAGTAAATTTAATTCAAAATAAAAATTCAACAATAGCCAAACAATCAATAATTATTCATCAGTAGCAAATTTTATTTTCTTCGGACCGATCATCATCCAAGCATAATATATGAAATTCGCATTCAGCACGTGTTGCTCGTAGGTAGAAATCATAATTAAAACCGTAAACATCTAAAAGGAAATTTTAAATTAGAAAAAAAAATTTTTCATAGTATTATAAGATTTGATTTAAATAAGGAACAGAACAGATTTAATCGATATTGTGCAACAAAACAAAACAAAAAATAAAATAAAAAGAATAAAATTATAAAATAAATATATTATTTTTAATTTCAATCAGAACAAATAATATCAATAAGCAAAATTGAAATCAAAATATTTACATAGTTCATATAACTGCATATAATATTTTCAACACATTTTTAATTTATAGGTACAACAATTCAACAAACAGAAATACATCAAAATTAGTACGTACCATTATGTACCATATTTATTGCTGGGGATTTTCAAGTATTTGTATCTCTATTTAAATACAAATTAAAAGTATCTTTTTACAAGATTGGAAAATACTAATATAAAGTAAAAACGACCAGTGAAAATTTCATGAATTATGTCGGTCATCTGTTTTAGAGTTACACCAAAACCAAAATCGATTTTGTCGAAAAAAGACTTTGCGTGAACATTCCCGTTTTTCCTTAATTTGTATATTGTATTTCCCGGCGATTTTGAAAACTATTGGGAATTTTGACTTTGCATGAATTCCCGAATGCACCACTTAGATTCGCTTTCCCATCGAACAACATACTGTTTAAGGAAATCGAAGCAGTTTTACTGCCCCAAACAATAACGACAGACACTTAAAAAAACACACATCATTGTAAAATCAACACATTCATTGCTCTGCTTGGAATGTAATATACTTAAAAAATATTTAATTTATTTTTGATTGATTGTCAAGTGTCAGTAATAAATTATAAATTATAGATAACTGATACATATTGAAAATTTCTTATGCTTAAAATGGCTCAAAAAGAGTCAAAATTACAAAATTATTATATTTTATAGTATATAAAAATTTTTAACACAAACATTCGGTTAAAAATGTCACGTATCCATAAGATCTTTAATCTTTGATTTGAAAAGAAACCTGTGACAAAGGATTATTAATATTTTTCAAACACCATTATAACAATATATTAGGAGCCTTGTATTACATTTTCAAGATTTTTTAGAAAACCAATAAAATTTTATTGACATTCGTGGAAAAAAAGTGATTCCACATGGGGCCATGTGCAAAATCAAATACGTACAATACTATTTAACTATTATTTACCTTCCGAGCTTTTACTATTATATTGTTAACTGATGCTGTTTTAAGGTCTTTTTCAACAAATAATTGAAACGTATGTACACTACAACAAACACATTGTGTTAAAATTTTCTCATTTCTAATTCAAGTTCTATACAAGCTTCTTGTTCCAAATTATTATTACCATTTAAATCTACCACTGTATCTATTTGTCATAATAGCTTGAATTGTAGATTAAGATAATTGGTCATGACCATCTAAAGAAAAACATAAAAAATTAAAAATCACAAATATATAAAAATCATAAATCCAGAGACAATTTCCTACCTATGTGTTCACTATCCTCAAAATGTTCATTAAATAAATCATCTTCATTAGATAAACTATATGCGTTGGGTAAGTCATCATCATTAGTGTCATTGAATATTCCAACCATTTTTGCCATATTTCTTTCATTCTCACATGTTATGGAAAATAATTGTCATTTATCAATATCAAACTACTTTAAAATATTCATCTACTAAAAAGATAAATTAATTACATTTTGTTACAATATTTATTAACATATTTTGTCAACAAACAAGATTATTTCTTTACACTTTTTTTAAGTAGTGTCGTATACGTCGATCACAGACATACACAAATAAACAAACGAATAATAATATAATCACTTTTATTAAAACTTTTACGTCCAGTGGCGATCGAGTCACACGATCACCACCTGGCTCTAACACTGGTGGTCAGTGGTAGTCGAGTCACACGACCACCGCCAACTGATCATCTCTCTGTCTTCCCATATTACTTATATATAATTATTACAATCGAAGCACTACTTATACTTACTGACTATGCTTAAAATTATACTAATTGTTATTGTATTACATAATAATTGATATCTTATCCTAATTTGGTGGAATGCATAATAATTGTTTCTATGTTGTTACTTAGCTTATTGAGTATTGTATGATTTGATTTGTTTTGGTATTTTACCTGTTACATATGGATGTTTAATTATCCTAGTTAACAATATTTTGTATATATTATGCATGATACAACAGTAGGTACTCAGACATATGTTTTTCGTTTAATTCTGTCATTCATGACAATGAATATTGTAATTTACACCAATAATTGATTGATTTAGTCTCGTAGCACAATCAACCTTCAATGAAACCAACCTTTTGTAGACATCTAGCTTAATACTTTTTACAGTTGCATCTGCGTATTCTTTCACATGGTTTCTTATAGTTCTATAATTAGTCTAGAAATCTATAAATATAACTTAAAAGTGTAACCAAATATCATAAAATAATTTGAATTATTCATTTTCTTCATATTGTGTAGTATATAGTTTCATAAAAAACTAACAAGTGTTGTAAATAATTAATATTATGTTATTTTATTTGTATTTATAATTTATATAGTTTTACCTATTAATAGAATGTATTTACTATTTATTATAGCCTTTAGGTTTTAAATTAACTGTGGCCAATACGTTTAACAGATAATTTTAAAAACTTGATAGGTAACCACAGTAAAAACTTACAGACACTACCTATGTAATAGTTATATTTACAAAAATATCAATATAACTACAATAACTTAAAAATATATAAACAATAAACTATAAAGCTGGTTTTCGATTTCTTCCGATGAGTCTGTTTAATGAATTCACGTTAGCACATCTTGTAGCTAGTTATTTAAATTATAATCAATGCCGTATGGGTACTTATTAAAGTGGTTAAAGATACTCTGTATGAAAATGTAGTCTAATGATCGTATATTGGGCAACCATACGAAGTATCACAATAAATCCTTAGTCTACTACCTATTTCATAGTAATACTAGGTTACTTGAATTTTACACGCAAACCCTAATCCACTGTAAACCGTAGGAATATTGAACCTGTTCGTACGCATTTAATTAGTTTTTTTTCTTTATGTCCAGTAGGGTCAAAGCGTAATTAATTGCTATTTAACCGTGAATTAATTACTTTTTTTTTCATTCAATTCGAATTTTGACAAAATGTGTCTAATTTTGAATTTTAAAATTATTTTGTAGTTAAAAATGTTAAGCTGTTATAGCTAAGGATTGACAATTTAAAACAAATTTCCACGTAAATACCTAGGTAAATAAATTACTTTATTCACAAAAACATCATCAAATATACTTAGTAATATTATAGTCTGTCTGACTGTCTTCACTCAGAATCGTTTTTCTTATACAATGATATAATATCATTGAATTCAAATTTAACACCATCCATTATAGACTACAGTGATCCAATTTTAACGTACTGTACAGCAGAGAGACACCCACTTGCCTACCTTTTTTTTTTGAGCACCCCCTGTTAAAATCTTCTGGATCCGCGCCTGATAGGTATATCTTATATAGGTAATATAAATAAAATGTTCATTTTAATTCGTATGTGTTCAGTTTATTCGTGACGGCCGTATGTTCCAAAGTCTCTCTCCCGATAATGTTCCCACAAGCATCGACAAACACTATAATTTGAAGGTATGTAAAAATAATTATTATGTAACAAACATCAAATCAACTCAAAACCATGAGTATCACAGTAAAGTCGCCTCTTAGGAAAGAGGCACCTGTAACACTCTCAAACACTACCAACAACTAAAAAAGCAACAGATTTAAATACCTTAGACCACTACACTACACGCTCAAGGAAAAGCAGACATAAAAAATTATGTGTTCCATACAACATTGAACCAAGTATTCTTTTAAATTTATAGCATTATGTCGCCCTTACATAAAAAACTCTTCACGTTCCATGAAAACTAGGTTTACAAAATTATCAAACTCACTTTATATAACTTCATTAGATGAAAAACAATAAAACTATTATGAAAAAAACTAACAATATTGTAATGTACATAAAAAACCAAATTGTTTTTAAAACTATAATATATTGTATTTAATAATTAATTTTTTTTTGTCCTTCTATTTTATCAAAAATGTAATGCTAATGACCTTTGTTGTCGAAGAAGAAACGTATAATTTATTGATCAATAAAAAAAAAATAATAAATAAATATTCATTTCTGAAATATACCTGTATAAACAAGTATTCAGCTTACAACTGCAGAGTACAAAATATTTATGAACCGTAACAATATTATAATTGTGGTTCAAAATGTATTTATGTAAAAATTACATTTTAATTTATTGAAAATAATAAAAGATAAACAGCTCATAAATTATGCATGCCAATTGTATATAAAAGATGGTTAATAAATATAAATTAGATTAAATTAATATGGTGCAAATCTGTGTATACCTATATATTTAATTATGGAAGTATGAAATTATGAACTTGTTATTTATATTTTATTTACAACATACTTTTTGGAGTTTATTTGAAATGAATAAAAGTGAACATTAAAATTCAAGAAAAAGATCAATTACCTAACCAATAATATAACATTTTTTTGTTATATTATTAGATAGGATTTATCCATTTTTTACATAAATATATTATATACTATACATATATTTAGACCAAATAATATAAATTATTGGACTGAAATATAAATACCTAATATAAAATTTTATAAATCGTATTTTTTGATTATTAACTATTATTTTATTATTATAATAATCACAAAAAACAAAAACGTAATATTTAAAAACACAAAAATAATGATTTTTTTTTTAAGCCTTAGGGACTAGAGTCTTAATATTTAATATTATAATTATAATAATATTTACATAGTATATTCATATTGCATTTAGAAATCATTATAACTTTTATGAGCACTGCCCAGTGCCACTTTTATGATGACCCAGGGATAGTGTTCATTTGTGTCACTTCACTGTAATCCATTGAACCTTGAAACTTTTTCCTCAAGTCCATTATAACTTTGGACTTGGCCACAAATATAATAAATATATATACTCCTTGTAGATTGGAAATTGCCTTTAAAATTACCTTTTTGGTCCCTTTTAATTGGAAAAACTCAGATAGTATCAAAAATAAAAATGGTACTCCAAAAACCAGAAATAGCTTCATGCTCATTACGAATCTGTCAAAAATTAAAATGTTTTAAATAATGTATGACCAACAAATCAAAAATTGTTTAAAAGATTTATATTAACTAGTTGAAAAGACAGAAAGTACTAACTTTAAATGTCTCAAGCTTTTAGATTAATTAGTAATAAGTAATAACGTATAATATTACCTATGTATAGTATTTTGTACTATAGTTCAAGTTAAATATGTAGATTTTATTTATCTTCATATTATTAGATACCTATCACTTATATGTTGACTTAAATTACAGAGATTTATGATAAGAGCATAGTAAATTAATTTAAGTGACACTACATTAAGTTTTAAATGCCACAGTTGCCGCACACAGCAAACAAATTATAAAGTTTTCTACTTTCTAGTTTATTATAATATGTAGGTATTACTCAGTATTAGGTACTACAATAAATATAAGTAATTAATAAATTAATAAATACTCCGAGTAGGCCACGATTTCAACTACCTATATTTATAGCGAAGGAGTTTTGAATAATGAATATGTAGTTAACAAAATTACTCAACAGGCTATATTAGGTATGTGCCCTATGTGAATGGTTATTACCCTTTTGTATTCTTACTTTTCTTTGTAAAATAGAAACATTTCTGTTTTTGAATCGGTTCGTCTGAACTTATTGAGTTCAGATTTAATTCTTGAACAATGGATAGCAGTTAGTAAGAACAAAATTAAATTGGCAGTCAGCATACCACAGATAGGTAGCCAGTAGAAAATTAAATTTCCGTAGCGATAGATTCCTGGAAAAAATATTAAATATAAAATAATAATTACATAATTATAACCATGCAATATACAAATTCCATATAGAAACCAAGTGGCGCCGATGTTTATTCAAAGTTATATCACAAAATGTTAAACTTTATACAGACACCTATATATATATATATATATATATATACCGTCGATTATTTGTTTATTTCCTTTTACGAATCCTACAAAAACTTTATTTCAAAACCATTAAAATAAGTAAATAATGTAAACAATACTGTTGCAAATATAATATATACATTCCAATGTTACCTACTTTTTTTTGAATAATTATCTATTAAACTATTTATTATTGGATACGTATTTTTGTTTAGTGTAAGTAAAAAGATAATAATTAAAAACTAATAAGTAATGTCGTGTATTCATATTAAACCTATGATCATACAAACAAATATTATCTGCAAGCCAAATATTTAAAACAAGCCATTAGTACTAGTCAGACTGTTAGGGTAGGTATACTTCAACCGTCCACCACCCACTCCAGACATATATTGCAGAAGCCAAGAGTCCCTAACCTAGAGTTCGGCGCCACTATATAGAACGAACCGAAAGATTAAAGTAACAAAGATTTGTTTGAATAAAATAACTAAAGGTCGTTATTATATTAGGATGCATTTTTATAAGAGTTAGTTAAGCAGTTTAAATATTGAAAATTAAATTAAACTTTTATTTTTATTTCGAGTTTAAAAGTTAAGTTACTGCAGTCTTACATCTCAGTGCGTTGACGTACTGCAGTGGTGTATTATTTAAATTTGTGTACTTAGTCGGTAGCCTCTCGAGCGACCGTGAACTGGCTCGGGGGACCTCCCGCCCAGAACTACGGGTCATTTAATCGCTGCTGTCCACGGGTCAGTATTTAATTCCTGACCTACCCAAACCAGTGCCCTTGTCCGCTGGGGACGGACCGACCAGTTTCATCCGCCGACACTGGGGACGGACCTTTGATGGGCGTTCCCCAATCCGCAACCCGCGGACGCGTACTGCCCCGCCCGTCGGCGGGTAGCGACAACCCCAGTAACTGGCTGTGGTTTCGCTAGTATGCATTTGTTGACAGTATATTATTATATAGCTATCATAGAAATTGTAATGCGGCATTTCAACCATTTTATCCTACCAGCCCAAAATATTAGCAGCCCTACGAGATTTTATCGAATGCTCGACAGGCCTAACCGGCTCTAGGAATATATAGGTATATTGTGTATTAAATGTTTAATTAAATGTGCTACACCTGAATTAAAATCCTGGGACCGCCCATGATTACATTATAATATTGTGGTCATAAAATATTAACATGTACGCCGAGCTAAAGTTTACAATATATAAATCTGAGAAATGAAAAATTTCGAAATTTATTTATTTAAAATAATTGTGTGAACTTACCGTTAAAAAAGCAATCATATTTTCCAATATTGCGTGCTAATTCTAGTAGCTTTTGGTGTGAATGTTGAAATAAATAACCAGTAGAAACGCAAATACTTGAAAATCCCCAGCAATAAATATGGTACATAATGGTACGTACTAATTTTGATGTATTTCTGTTTGTTGAATTGTTGTACCTATAAATTAAAAATGTGTTGAAAATATTATATGCAGTTATATGAACTATGTAAATATTTTGATTTCAATTTTGCTTATTGATATTATTTGTTCTGATTGAAATTAAAAATAATATATTTATTTTATAATTTTATTCTTTTTATTTTATTTTTTGTTTTGTTTTGTTGCACAATATCGATTAAATCTTTTCTGTTCCTTATTTAAATCAAATCTTATAATACTATGAAAAATTTTTTTTTCTAATTTAAAATTTCCTTTTAGATGTTTACGGTTTTAATTATGATTTCTACCTACGAGCAACACGTGCTGAATGCGAATTTCATATATTATGCTTGGATGATGATCGGTCCGAAGAAAATAAAATTTGCTACTGATGAATAATTATTGATTGTTTGGCTATTGTTGAATTTTTATTTTGAATTAAATTTACTTTTACAATTTTAATTGATTTTTTAATAAAAATTATCAGTTTATTATTTTGAAATTTAACTTATTGATTTTAATTTTAATTTCAATATAAATGAATCATTATATTATAAAGTTTCAATTTTGATATTTTAACTATTGATTTCATAGAGGAATTTTATCGATATCTATAATCGGATAATAAACTACCTATTTAGCAATAGGTATAATATAATAAATATGCTATACGCATTATAGTTAACTACCTATATAATACCATAATATATTAATATACTCCATACTAAGTAGGTAATATGGTCCATGGACCTATTCAATTATAATATTAATCATGACTTGTTTCTTTTGTTCGTACATTACTGATGTGTAGGAATTTCTCACACGACTTTATTATAATAATTGCTATTTATATACCTTTTTGAATATACGGCCTTAGGAGATTTTTGACAAGTCCAAGAAGGAGTAAAAATACTTAAAATATATAATATATATATAGATCTTCATATTTTTACTGTTGATATTACCATGATCAGTAATTATATACTGATAAACTTATAGGTATTAACTTTTATTATATAATTCATGTATACAGTGTGATTCTTTTTTCATGAAACATTATTTCAAAAAGTATTAATGTTTTTGAAAATATTTTTGACATAGTTTCAAGTTGTTAAAAAATAACGTTTTTATTAAAAACTATATTTTTAAATATTTTTTATTTTTATATTTTTTAAGTTCTTTACTTTTTTGAATTACATCATAAAGTAGTTTTAATTTCATATTCCTAAGCAGAATGTTTTCTAAGTATTTTTATTCATAAAAGTCGAATTTTTGGGAGGTCAGCTTTTTTTACAGTAAAATGTATCTCTTCGAAGTGCAAACTACAAAAACATTTTTTTATATGAAAACATTAAGTAGAATGATCAATAACAAAATAATATTAAATAATAATAATGTATAAAATGTACACAGGCTCAAGAATGTTAGTATACAAAATAATATACAATTACAAATATAATTATAAATGTATAAGTATATTAATATGATGTATATACAGACGTGAAGACTGAGTATTGAAGTAAAATAGCACGTACGAAATCATGCATAAACTTATCAACTTATAATGTACGTAATTCGAAAATCACGAGTATAAAAATATGTTAGATATAAATAAGATTTTATGAAGTTGACATAGATGAAATTTATATATTGGTGGTATTCCATTATGTCTAGTTTACCAACAAGTGTATGACGAAACTATTGAAACTGGAGTAACTAGACCTTTAAAATTAAATGAAGTATTGAAGTTCATGATATCACGAGACATGGTTTCTTCGTATTCAAATTTATATTCTTTGTTTAAAATATTTTATACACTTCTAGTCAGCAATGCAACTGCAGGAAGAAGTTTGAGCAGCCTAAAACTTCACAAAACATGCCATCACTCAACTCTGACTGAAGACCGACTAGATATTGTCATATTGAGCATAGAAATTAAAAAGCAACATAGCTCAAATCATTGATTTTGATAAAATAATAAGTACATTTGCTCTAATGAAAAAGAGACAATTATTGTAATGTTCTAGTTCTTTTATTATTTTCATGTAAGTATAATAAAACATAAATTTTATAAATGTATTATTTTCGACTTTTGCATTGGATTAAAATTTAGAACCACCTTCTGTCCTTCTATATCTCTTGTGAAAATGAAATCAGTCATTGAAAACAAAAATGAAATACATATAGGTACTACAAATATACGTATAAAAAAAAAATAATAAATATGTATAATACTATACCTTCTTAAAATGATTTGAATATTTCAGGTAAATTTGTTAATTGAATATAGATTTTAATGCAACAAATATAAATAACAATTAATTTATAATACCTAGAGGCTAAAGCTTGTAAGTAATTTTTACATTTAACTTAAAAATATGTTATGACTTATGACTCATGTAATATAGTTATATTGAATATTGGTATCAAAATGTGATGTAAATAACTAATAAGGTAAATCATGAGGGCATCAGGCGACACTCAATACCTAGCTGGTTTAAGTTTCTACACAGTGGCCTTTCGTGAGTAAGGCAGACCCACAGTTCTAAGATCCTGGGTACGCCACTGTGTGGCTTAGAAGATTATAACACCAGATAAATATACACATTATTGTTTTGCACATTTTATTACTATAGTATGTAAGAATATAATTTACATACCTTAACATCCAGTTAATATCGAAGCATATTACGTTTAACCAGCAACATATTGTCAGAGTTGCAAAGTAAGCAAAATAACCTAAAATTACACTATAAATTAATTCAAAATACATAAACAAACAAAATAATAATTAATAGTAAAATATATAATGTGGAAGTCAAAACATGTATACTGATAAGACAAATAATAATGGCAATATTTATATAAATTGTTGTTGTTTAGTTTTTAGATGCATGGACAAATTAGTTACCCCCTCCCCACATTGCCATTTTCACTATGACTATGGATTTTAAATATTTTTAATTTGTCTTTGAAAGAATATGTTAGGATGAGTCTTCTATTCAATTTTCAAGTTTTTTTACCAAATTTATTGTTATAGAATAAAAACCTAAAGAAATTGGAAACTGAAAATGTCCTGTATCTACAGGTTATTTGTTGTAGAGTTACACTATAAACCAAAGTGGATTTTGAGTAAACATTCCCGTTATTCCTTTATTTTCCTTAGGTTTTTCACGGCACGGCGTTTTCAAAAACTACTGAACATTTTTACTTTTGACCCACCAAGGTACCAACTACATTCACTTTCCTATCTGTAAAAATTCTGTTGAAGAAATTCTGAGCACTTTTACTGTCTTAAACAGTGATGATAGATATAAAAAAAACACATTGTAAAATCAATACATTCATCTCTTCACCCGGAATCTAAAATAACTAATAATGTTTATAACATAATATTTAAATTTTATAAAAAAAATCTATTCTTTATACATATTAAAATTTATAATTTATTATAACTGCACTATTGGCAATCAATCAAAAAGAAATTAAATATATTTTTAAGTAGATGTATTAGATTTTGAGCGGAGCGATGAATGTATTGATTTTGGAATGATGTGTGTTTTTTTTTATTTATATTTTTTGTGACTGTTGTCACTGTTTGGGGCATTAAAACTGTTTCGATTTAATTCAAGAGTATCCGATTCGATTGGAAAGTGAATCTACTTGGTGAATTTGGAAAGTAAAAATTCCCAATAGTTTTCAAATTCCCCGGGATATACAGTATAAAAATTAAGGAAAAAAGGGAATGTTTACGCAAAGTCGGTTTTCGACTCGGACACGAACATATCGGGGATACTTTTAAGAATTCAATAAATCGATATGTATCTGCTTGCACCATAAACGTGGTAGGTACGTGTTTATGATCAATACAATATTATATTTACATTTTACATTTTAGATTCTGAGTGGAACGATGTATGTATTGATTTCACAATGTGTGTTTCTTTTTTTTTTTTTTGTGTGTCGGTGTACACGATAAAAGGTCGAAATAATGCTTCAATTTTCAACTTCAGTATCTTGTTCGATGGGAAAGAGAATATTATTGGTGCATTGGGGAGGTCAAAGTTTCCAATAGTTTTCAAAATTGACGGGAAATACAATAAAAAAATTGAGAAAAAACGGGAATGTTCACGCAAAGTCGGTTTTCGACTAAATCCATTTTGGTTTTTGGTGTAACTCTAAAACAAATGACCGTATATACATCATACATGACATTTTCACTAATTATTTATATCAGTATTTTCTATACACCATAAATATTTTGATTTGTTGTGATATTTGTGAACTGTTTACGGACATTTTCAGTTTTAAATTTTTTAATACAAGGCTTCTACTATATTGTTACAGTAGCATTTGAAAAATATTAAAAATCCTTAGACACATTTTTTTTTTTAAAAACATTTAAAGTTCAAATCTCAACAAAATACAGAAAAATCATGAAAATAAACAAATCATTTTGAACTAAGAATTCATACATTTTTTTCGTTTTAAATCTAACATTTTAAAATGGAAAACAGATAAGACATACCGAATGGAATGCGCAACGGGTTGTTTATGTCGCCTTGTACCAAATCATAGGTCAAATCGAGAACGAAGTACATGAGCTGGCATGCCATGTAGAACATTACGTAGTAGCCGTGGGTATTCCGGAGGTAAGGCAGTGTGGAGTACACGATCAGAGTGAGCACCAAGCACACGACAAACAGGGTTTTAACCCAAAAGAGGAAACTGACCGGTGGTTTGGCATTCGTGCACAGGAACGCCCTCAGATCGGCGGGTGTCCCACCCTCGGTGTAATATTCCAAGCAGAACTCCTTTGCCGGTAAGATCCATTTGACGCCTTCGTGGATAAGGAAAAGGTTGCCTTCCATGGTCAACATGAACCTGTCATCAATTAAGCTGATAACGCCACACAAGTGTCTGTCGTAGTTCTGTAGCACCGTGTTGTTCGACCGGCCCACCGGCCTTCCTTCCGGGTCTGTTTCATAGGCGGATAACGTGAACGGCATCTCACTCCTAGTACACCACAAATTACTGTTGTGCATAGAATATATTATAATCATACACTATTATACTGCATAATTATACTTCTTGATAACTAACACAATATGCAGTTTATACTATTCTAAAATAATTTCGGTGTACGGGCGAAGCCGATTAATTTTTATGTAGGTATATAAATTACCTATACACATTTCGTTGAAAAATTCTTTTTTCTTTATAATGTATTTTTTTCTTCGACTTAGATCAATTTATAAAGATAAACTCAACCCTGTGCATTAAGAGGATGTCAGCGCACCATTTGTTTTCTTTCTGGCCCACTCGCAAGATAGACAAAACGCATTAACGTAGAATCATTTTTTCGATGTTTTTAAGTAATTTTAGACTAAAATAGCCCATTAAAAAAAAAAAAAGAAAAAATTATCGATTTGTCTAATTATTGTCTCAAAACAATTTAAACATAATTTAAATTTACAACATTTTTTTGTTTATTAGAAAAAATGATCGAAAAAGGATGTCAGCGCACTATTTGTTTTCTCTCTCTGTACCGCAACATAGAAAAAAAGCATTAACGTTCTGCATCTGCGTAAATGCGTTTTGTCTATGTTGCTCGTGGTAAAGAGGGGGAAAACAAATAGTGCGCTGACGCCTGACATCCTCTCAAAGACTTTAACAACAACAATAAATAATTAGATTATATGATTATGTTCAGTTTAAGTAAATGTACTTAAAACGAAATTTATGAACCCTAAGTTTTTTCATGACTATTACAATTATTTTGGTCAACAAAATAATATTACAGTAGGTTTTATTATTTTCTAGCGTCAGATGTTGGGAGTAAAGTGACAACTATAGCACAAACACGGTGGATACTTTCTCCGCGTATAAAATGTATTGGTAAATATATCTATAATCTACATAATACTTAGGTATAATAATATTTATGGACATTTTTACAAAATATATTATACCACCCGGCATCTACCCCTTAAATTAGGCCTGGAACTTGCAGACTTGATCCATGTTCTCGGCACCACTGTGTAGTGTATATGTTACCGGAAATGTTGACATTTAGGAAATGATGACAATTCCTAGTAAATGTTGACAATTCCTAAAATCGGAAGGAAATGATATCATCGCCTAGTATATGTTATCATTTCCTAACGATAGTAGGCAAAGATGCCACATTTTTTAAATTTAATCTGACTTATTTAAATATTACTTTTATCTAACATAATTATTAATTAATCTATACCTTAATAAATAATCAATAAATAAACAAGTATTTTTTTAACATTTTAATTTATGTAATTTAAGCTTTTTAAAATTTTTTTACGATTTGCAACGTAGTTACTCATTTTTATTTTCGCATGGCAGACTTCCATGACATTTAGAATTACAAATTCTAGATGCCGATCTGCAAGCACACCTGTTCGTCTTGCATTTTGTCTTACATTGACATCGGGTATATCCTTGTGCCCCCGAAATACTATTTACAGTAGCTGCCTCCCGAAGTGATAACGGTTTTTCTGCTTGACCTACCGATTTTAAAACAGTACTTAGATCCAATAAATTTGCTTTGCAAGGATTTATTTCTGATCTTGTGTACATATGTTTTAAAAATCCACTTTCAGTGCCTACAATTTAAAAAAAAAATAATTAATTTTTATAACGCATGAGTTTGAATACGAAAGTGATTAAGACGTTAATAAAATTACTACCTAATTACCCGTGTGTCTCCATTTCTCATTTAATTTGAGTTCGACAGCATTATTAGTTCGATAGTGTCTACTATATAGAGTGTAAAGGACTATAATATAAAGTTGTATTTAATTAATTTATAATAATAACAATATTTATCAATTTTTACAGTAAAATATACATTTTAATATCATTTTTAAAAATAAATAAATTAATAAATGTCATTTTATGCATTTTTTTTATATATATTTTTAGATCATCAAATTCCGGGCCCCACTGATAACATTGCCTAATAAACTACGGAAATGTTGACAATTCCTAGGCGGTGATAACATTGCCTTCCGCTTTTAGGAATTGTCAACATTTACTAGGAATTGTCATAATTTCTTAAATTGTCAACATTTCCGGTAACATATATACATTATACACACACAATCAAAATACTTAACTTTAAACTTATACATAGGACGCAGTGGACTTACGAACTAATGGAGTCATCGACGAATATAAATCCGACGGGGCAGCACTTGTTGACGCACGTGTAATTACCCCGACCGCAGTACTGGTCGCGTGGCCGGCTCATCGGACGGTGTCAGGTCGAACCAGTAGTCCAGTGGCAACAAGATTTGCGACTGGTGCGCCTCCATCAGCCCACGCACCTCCTCGGCGGACACGTCGACTAGCACATCCGTGGAGAAGCAATACGGCGGCCACTCGTAGATACTCTTCAACCGCACATTGGCTGCCATCCGAAATCCGCTCTGCAGTCGATTCATCAACCTCTGCTCGTACTCGTCACCACCCGTCCCGGACGGTCTGCAGAACCGCCCATCCGGATCGTACATCCGCTCCACCGGACAGCGCTTCCTGGCCCACACGATATTATTCATGGAGAACGCGACTCTGCCGCCGATCGCGACTCTGCCACCGATCGCGATTCTGCCGCCGATCGCGACAACGAGAAACCCGGCGGTGAAACACGATCGGACGGTATTCATTGTGTGCGCACACTGTTTGGGCATTGTCGGTACATGCGCTATCGCGACTGTCGGCCGCCGCCTATGTCATCCAGTAATGGATTAGACCATTCGATGAGCCGCCGCCACCAACCACCACGCTCTTATACAATATTATAAAAATGTAATATAGTGGTTTTCGTTTAAATATTTTAAAAATTAATCGTATTCCTGTTTATGAATCCTAAAACATTTAACATCCTAAATGATTTTTTAACCAAAGTATTAATATGTAATACACTACAACTAACCATTTTATAATAAAAGTCATAGGTAACTAATAAGTAATAACATTATCTAGAGGGAAAATAGTAATAAAACCGCAATTATTTATATTTAGTGGGAGGTAATTTCAACGACTAATTGCGATACTAATTTATTGTAAAATAGTCAGTATTGTATTAAAATTGAATTTATATTTATTTATAATTTGCAATGACTAATGTTATAACAGCCTAAGATTTGCAAATTTGTTAATTTATTAATTTAATTTATTACAAGGTTCATCATAAGTTTTCATAACTTTAACAAAAAAATTCAAATTTGGACGAAATTAGGTATTTAAACGAATAATAATTACGATCATTGTTATTTTGTTGTAATTATAAAAATGTATTATTATAATATAGTCTGACAGTCAGACCGCCTCCCCTCAGAATTGTTTTTCGTTTATACAATGATATTATATCATAGAATTTAAATTTAATACCAATCATTATAGTGACACACTTGTAACCTACTTTACAGGAGAGCGTTATTCAACTTTTTTTATTATTTATGGCTTAACATAATTTAATATTTATTGACAATAATATAGGCTATATTTATATGGATATTATTTATCAAATAGAGATTCAGAAGCTGTCTTCAAAAAATGTCCAGACATTTGCATAGTCACATCATCTTTAAATAAAAAATACCATAAATATTATTTAATTTGTGGATATTGTGTTATAATTTGTATTAAAGATTAGTATGTATTTTATTAAAATACAAAATACTAGCTGCAAGACCATGAGAAAATAAATGTATCCTTCCTTAATTCTTAAACTCTGTTAAAAGTGAGATTTTTAACACAATTATTTGGGTTCTTTTGATTAAGCAGGTGTACAATTTTATCTAATCATTATAATATGTTTTTTAATATATATATTAAAAAAAAATTACATTTCATCGTGTACATTTAAAATTCACAGTGTACCTATCGGTACCAGGTGATTATTTTATCATAAACTATTCATTTAAAAAATCGTACGTGGTTTCTAGTTATTATTTTCATTTAAAAAAAAAATAATATATATTTTAAATATTTTTTATCCTTATCATTTTTTAAAGTTTTTAATGTTTTGAATGACAACGCACAGTTTTAATTTCGTATTCCAAAGCAGAATATTTTTATAAATATTTTAATACATAAAACTCGAATCTTGTTCTAGTAGTTTATGGCTTATGAGTATTTAAAGTATAGATGAGTGGAGTGGTGTGAAGGTTACCCCGCAAAATGGTTGTCGGCTACTCGGGTCACATAAACTTTAAATCCTTATAAGTTATAATTACTTATGAACTACTGGTCCTAAATTAGATTTTTATGTATCGATATACTTAGAACAATATTCTGCTTTAGAAAATGAAATTATAACTGTATGTTGTAATTCAAAAAAGTATAAAAACTTTTAATATTGTTATGTGCTACACCCTTCAGGGATCCAAAAGGTGATGATTTGAAAATATAAACTGATAATCAATTTAGAACAGTAAACTGCAATGTAGTTTATTAAAACAGAATATAAAATATGTATAAATATCGTCGTTTCTCGTGTAGGATGTGGCCGATTGGCGTGGGGAACACCGGTCATTGGCTCTGGTACATCTGAATATCCCCTGTCTCTGGCAATACTATAATATACGATCTCGGCTCGTTTGATAATGATCGGCACGTGGACCCAGGTGTCCTTCAGGTGTAGCCGTTTGAAAAGTGGTTGTTTTGGCAAAAAAGATGAAACCATCGCCTCGTATGCTAATAATTATGTTATTTTTGCCAATTCTGAATGTCAAATTATATGAATGGGATTATAGTTTATACATTGTACGCGGTCGTATGGACTGTATAGTCCATTGCGATGTTAACCCTTGTGGCTTAGCAACACATTATAATATTAATACGTAATGTATATTTATCATTTACAATATTATAACTATACAAAATATTTGAAAGAATAATAAAAAAAAAAAAGTTGTTTTTTTGAACGACAAGAAACCTTGAAAAAAAAAATATTTTAAAAAACGTGATGAATACGTACTTTTTGAAATAATAAGTGTTTTCCGTTACGAATAACCCGGTATAAGAATTAAATACCTTTAGTTTATGACCCGCAAGATAAATAAAAGTAAAAATTAAATTCAAAGAAGATCCTTTTTATTGTAAAAGTGTCAATGCTCTTTAAGATGTACGGTAACCATCGAACAGCCATTACCTATATCGTCTATATTGCACGTTAGAAAATTTAGGAACTTAATGTATGTATTTGTACACATGACAGAAGTCAATACTTAAAACTGATCGGAATTTTAATATTTGACACTTACTAGGTAGGTATGTAAATCTTTTAATTAATTAACACAATTTTAATATTTCATAATAACCGTTAGACGATAATCGTCAGGCGCGGATTCAGGGGGGCCCCTGTCGTCTAAGGCACCGTAAGCCACTAATAAAATACATTTGTATTCAAAATTCTCAAATAGAAAGGTGTAACCATTTTTTATTAGATTCTGTTGTTTATAAATTTAAAATTTTTTTTTTTGTATTTGTCATCTTTGTATTTGGGAAAGAACAACTGATTTTTTCAACAGAACCTTTATCAAAAAAAATTTCTACAGAAAAAACCAATTAAATTTTTCCATAATTTGTTATTCTCATGTATGTGTATGGCATTTACGACTAACTATTATTTTAAGCAAACCAAGCAGACTATGTTGTTAGCATGTTTCACCAAAGTTCATATTCCAAATTCGAAATTCGTCAAAATCGTAAAAATCACAGTTGTGCTGCTCTAAGCATAGTCAACTACCGGTCTCTATAGTTCTATACTCCACGCTAAGACCGATGACCATGGTAACGACAGGCCCGGATTCAGGGGGGCTACGGGTGCTTGGGCACCCCCTGTCGTCTAAGGCACCGTAAGCCACTAATAAAATACATTTGTATTCAAAATTCTCAAATAGAAAGGTGTAACCATTTTTTTTTAGATTCTGTTGTTTATAAATTTTAAATTTTAAACGCGCCTAGAATAACAAAATAAAAACTGAGGAAATATGGGAATTTTTAAGCAAAATCAGTTTTCGACAAAATCAATTTTGGTTTTTGGTGTAACTCTACAAAAAATAACCGTAGATTGGTACATGAAATTTGCACTGAATTTTTATATTAGCCCTAATTTGTATACTATAAAATTCACATGATTAAAATATTTTGACTTGTTTTGAGCTGTTTACGGATATAATGCATTTTCAGTTTTTTTAGTTTTTTTTCTATGATTGCCAATAAAATTTTATTTGTTGGATAAAAAAGCTTGAAAACTTAATACAAAGCTCTTAATATATTGTTACATTTGAAAAATATTAAATATACAGTCTCAATTTTTTCTTATAAGCATTTAATGTCAAATTTTGACAAAATACGTAAAAATCAAGAAAATTATTATTGAGTTAGAAATACATAAAAATGTTATTTTTAAATCTAACATTTGAAAATTTAATACAAGATTAAGTAGAATAAGTATTGCATATAATTTGTGGAATAATAATAAACGTGTGAGATTAAAATGCCAACTTAGGATAATATATTGAAGGCTGAGGTCTGACTTGACTAAGAATTATAGTATAGCCTTCGAAAGTTCTAAAGCTGTGAGTTCTTATTTTATTCTTCCGAAAATCATCTTCACTCTTCCATTTCTGTTTTATTAGGTACTTAATAATAATTCGTATATGAAAACTATCCAAGTCAGACCTTAAGCTTCAATATATTATCCTAAGTTGACATCCTAACTTTACACCCCTTTAGATCTCACTTCTTTTGTCGTTGAAGTCAACAACCAAGGCATATATTATAGTAATGATCTTGGCTCTCATTTACATACATGTTTTTAGTGGGATTTATTATTACCCAAACACGTCCACATTAGATAACAGTATAGTATTATAGTACTATACAATACGTATTGGGCAACACAGAATTTAGTTTTTATTTAGTTGTTTGGTCTTTATCGTGCGTAGTGTACAGCATACGGTATATTTTGTTTAAAAAATCTAACTTGCATATTTTATTTTTATATAATGTCTAAAGTAAATAATGCTTCTCGGTATGTAAATGAATATCAAAACATATTTTAAACAGACCGAAATATTTTATTTTGCAATCTTTGTTGAAAATCATCGATATTTATTACTTTTGGTACTCGTCCAATAATAATAAATAATAATTTAATATAAATAGTAATACTTTCATTAGCTTATAATACTTTTATACTTATGTTATTTTGCATTTTTTTTTTTTAATAAACAATTTTTAAACATAATATATTATTAATTTGTAAAAATCATTTTGCATATTTATTGAATAATTATGATATGAATCTGCATATTTTGTAGATTTGTATTGCATTTAAATCCGGGCCCTATTAATCAACAATGTAACAGAACCTGTATTTCATTTAAAAACAAGCACCTGATACTCTTTTAATGTATATAATATTACCATTTACCACTCCAAATTACTTATTATATTACTGGGTAATGATTTACGATTATTATTTATATCATGTTATGTTATACGATTTGTCAATATTATTATTAAATACCTACATATATCCATGTGGGTTATCGCGTAAGTTATAAACACAAAAAAAACACTTTAACACTTCGTCGAACTCCGTTTAAAAAAATGGCTAAGTAAAACAACAGATCTTTAAGCACTATAAAGATGTGATATTATAAACATGATTCCAAGTAAATTGAATTAAACCCTAAGATAAAAATATTGAAGCGTCAAGGATGTATAAATTTATCACCAGCATATATTGACCTCCCGTAGTCCCGTGTGAAAATACACCAGTATAAACTTACTAAGGTAAGTATACTAGTAAGGTTAAAATATACTGGGATATGGTTACCCCCCGTAAAAAATGTCTTATTTTTTATACTTTATACAATATTCATCAAAAATACAAAAATTTGTAAATTATTTTGTAATTCATAAAATGTTTAGAACTAAGAGGACGTCGCACCAGCGAATCTAGGAAAAAAACCATACTGTTGGATACATATGTCAATAATAATAATTAATAATAATAATAAATATTTAAAATTTGAATGATAATCATTACGTTATTATACTATTGGTAAATAGGTACATATTATATTGTATGATAATTCTATATAAATATTTATTTATTTGTTTATTTATGGATACTCTTTGGTAATAAATATTTAAAGTACAATAAGTTGAATATCAATTTGACAAATATTATACTGAAATTAAAAATATTTTATTATAAATGAGATAATATTTTTTAAGATTAGTCGTACTTATTCCTGTTTATGAATCCTAACATCTTAAATGATTTTTTAAATAAAGTATTAATAAGTAATATACTACAACTATAAATTTTATAATAAAAGTCATAACTAATAACTAATAAGTAATAACATTAACTATACGAAAAAAAGTAATAACACCGAAATTATTAATATTAAGCGTATGATAATAATTAAACAAATATAAGTATTCAAAATAAAATTATAAATTTGTAACTGAAGTCCTATCTCAAACAAATAGTGGGTAATTACTTATTATATCCACTACAACAAATAAACTATTGTCCACAAATTGTTCCTGACGTCTATTCGTCGACTCCACAATAGAATTGGATAACGATGTATTTATTTGGTCAAATTTAATTTTTGTTTGATACGAAATACCAAAAAAAATCACCCAATATCAAATCCTTTTTGAGCGGTATTCACTTGTCCACCTTTTTAAAAATTAATTTGTCTTTTTTAAACTTACCATCTATTATTTTACCATCTTTTGTATTAGCTAACACTTTGTCATGTAGAAGTCAACACTATATTTTGTAGGAGTTGACACTATGTCTATGTTGGAGATTACCTACATTTGTAGGATATTACTATTTCCCTCTATAAATTACGTATTATAGGTATTATATATTTTGTTATTCGTTATGTTTTGTTTTGAGGTATTTAATTATTTTTGAATATCGCTTTCCATTATAATAAAGTTTACAAATTTCAATCAGTTTTTGTCAAATATAACGTTATTATAACGTTTGCAAGCCCTGCTTGCAAATACTTGCAAATCAAAAGGTATCGTTGGGTGCCATTTTCAAAGTTTTAGGACAACTTGGGTGGGTTAACTTTGTGACTGACGGCTCTCACTGGCCACCCGAGTTACTTGCAAAAACCTGAAAATTGTTGCTAATCATTAGCTTTTGTTTGATACTGATTTCAAAGTGCTGGGTAAAAATGGATTTAGGACTACGGGAAGTTGGTCTATTTTTTAATTTTTGGTTTCACAGTGAAAGTTTGGACTTGCAAATTCTTAAAATAGACTTGCAAGTACTTGAAAATAACTTGCAAAATTATGTCAAGGGTATCACATGGTGTGAAAGAATTAGAACTACTATCGCGTCATAACTCAGACGCCCAGTGACCCAGTATGTACGTTTTTAAAACCCTAGTCTACTGACGATGGGTACTGTATACAAGTATATCGTACATCGTAAATAATATTCATTCGTAGAGTAGATAATAAATAAAAATGATAATTATTCATTATACCTTATGTTTTAACTGGTTTTCGATTACTCTCGATGAGTATGCTTAATAAATTCAAGTTAGCATATATGTGATGTAGCTAGGTAGTATTTATATGCGGTAAAAGGTACCTACTTCTTAAAGTTAGTTAATAAGATCCTCTGTATGAAAATGAAGTTACGTGTCTACAATTTTGAAGCGAAACCAGTTACAAACAAATATACATAAATAAATATAATACAATATTATATACATTATAATATGTACCTACCTATTGTATTTATGGTATATCGTATATAGGTAGGTAATATAAATAAAATGTTAATTTCCGAAATATTCCTGTCTACTCAAGTATATACGAACATTATATAGTTAAATGTTTAGATTGTATTTTCAACGTTAAATTTGGTTTTGCTAAATCTTGAAAGATATGTAATACTCGTAATCTTATTTTTACTACAGATACACCATAATATTAATTAAAATAACAATATAATAATTGTGGTTCAAAATGTATTTGTGTAAAAATTAAATTTTCATTTATTAAAAATAATAAAAAGTAAACAGATACAAAAACTTTTTATTTAAAAACATAAAAATAATGATTTTTTTTTAAGCCTTAGGAACTTAGAGTCTTAATATATAATTTAATAATATTTACATAGTATATTCATATTGCATTTAGAAATCATTATAACATTTATGAGCACTGCCCAGTGCCACTTTTATGACGACCTAGAGATATTGTTCAGTGGTGTCGGCTCACTGTGAACTATTGAACGTCTAAACTTTTTCCTTAAGTCCATAATAATTTTGAACTTGGCCACAAAAATAATAAATATAAATACTCCTTGTAGACCGTGAATTGAATCTATAATCAATTTTATTTTCCCTTCAATTAGGAATAATTCACATAGCATCGAAAATAAAAACGGTACTCCAAAAACCAGAAACAGCTTCATGCTCATTACGAATCTGTCAAAAATTACAAATTAAAAGTTTTTAAATAATGTATGACCAACAAATTAAAATTTGTTTAAAAGATTGATATTAACTAGTTGAAAAGATAGAAAGTACTAACTTTAAATTTATCAAACGTTTAAATTAATTAGTAAAACGTATCATATTACCTATATAATATTGTGTACTATAATTAAAGTTAAATATGTAGATTTTTCTTTATCTTCATATTACTAGACGCTTATCACGTATATTTTCACTAACCTTGCAGAGATTAATGTTTAAAGCATAGTAAATTAATTAAAGTGCCCCTATATTAAGTTTTAAATGGCACAGTTGAGCGCATACTGCAAACAAATTATAAAGCTTTTAGCTTACTCTGCTTACTAGTTTATTGTAATATATAGATAGGGGCGGATCCAAAGTTAGGAAACAGTCGTGGGTCAGGACAATTCAAGGGGCCACTTATCAAAACCAGATTAGAAATCTATAATTGTTTACAAGGTATATAAAACAAAAATAATTAATTTATACTGAATGTGTATTATATGAATGGATATTATATCTTTTGCAATCTTACCTCGCTTTGTAAAAAAGAAATATTTCGGTTTTTGAATCTGTTCGTCTGAATTTATTAAGTTCAGATTTAATTCTTGAACAATGAATAGCAGTTAGAAGGAACAAAATTAAGTTGGCAGTCAGCATACCACAGGTGGGTAGCCAGTAAAAAATCAAAGTTCCGTAGTGATGGATTCCTGGAAAAATATAAAATATAAAATAATAATTATTGAGATGTAAAATGCACGTAATTTTTTTTTTGGTAATTTACAGAGAAAAATTTACTTAAATTTACCGTAAATTTGGTAAATTTGGTAAGTTTTGATAATTTTCATATGCTACCATAAGAACACCCCTAGAGACTACTCTCCGCCGCATTTCCATGAACTAATAATTATGGTAACATTTATTTTTTTTATTTACTGGAACTGGATACTAAGGTATTCAATTGAACAGGGTGGTCGTTATTTTAATTTTTTTTAAATTTTGTGTCCAGGGTTCTATTCTAATATGTGTAAAAAATACTAAAATTATGTATATAACATTTAATTATAATCAGAGAAGTTTAACCGATGCCCCAAAGCCTTGAAAAGTTTAAAATTACTAATATTTTAAAAGTGGTGTATTATTTATACCTGTGATAAAATCAAATTTATATTAATTGCCATAATAAATTGATCGTATCAGATATTCTTATGGCGTATATTCATATGTTTAATGTTATGTAGTATAGTATGTAAGTACTACTCTATCACTGGTTGTCGACGTTTTACATTTTATAATATACACTATTCCATTTTATTAATATGTTATGACTGATGAATATTAGCCCATTGATAACGTTTAATTTGAGGTGCCACATGCTATTTTTTTTTTTTTATATTTACTTGTAAAAAAATAATTGGTAAATTTACCGAGCTTACAACTCTAAATAATTATATATTTATAATCTTGCAATATACAAATTTCGTATAGAAAACCATTGGCGGCGATGTTCATTCAAAGTTATATCGCAAAATGTTAAACTTTATACAAACACCGTAATTTATTAGTTTTTTCCCCTTTATGAATCAAACAAAATCTTTTTTCACAACCATTAATATAAGTAAATAATGTAAACATTACTATTGTAAATATAATATTATATGAATAATAAACATATTTTAATCAAAGTTAAATTAATATTTTAAAATTGTAGGTAACAATGTAGATAGATTTTTGTTTTGAATACGTATACCTATTTATAAAATAGATAATAATTGAAAACTAATAAGCAATGTAATTTATTCATATTAAACCTGTAATCATACAAAATATTATTATCTTCAAGCCAATAATATTTAAAACAAACCATTAATACTAGTCTGCAGTGGTCGGGACGCTACTGTTTTTTTGTAACACGCTAACGCTACTGCTACTCCCCAAAAAAAGTAGCTCGCTAACGCTAAAGCTACTTTTAGATTCTGAGTGAAACGATGAATGTATTGATTTTACAATGATGTGTGTTTTTTAGATTCTGAGTGAAACGATGAATGTATTGATTTTACAATGATGTGTGTTTTTATATTTTATTTTTTATTTTTATTTTTATTTTTTTGTATCTGTGTACACGATAAGTAGTCGAAATAATGCTTCGATTTTCGACTTCAGTATCTTGTTCGATTGGAAAGTGAATATCGTTGGTGCATTGGGGAGGTCAAAATTTAAATTTCCCAGTAGTTTTCACAAGCGCCGGGAAAAACAACATAAAAATTAAGGAAAAACGGGAATTTTTACGCAAAATTGATTTTCCAAAAAATCGATTTTGGTTATTGGTGTAACTCTAAAACAAATGAACGTATATACATGAAATTTTCACTGGTTGTTTATATTTGCATTTTCTATACACGATAACATTTTCAAAATATTTTGATTTATTTTGAACTGTTTAGGGACATTTTCATTTTCCATTTTTTTTCTAAAAATTTCAATAAAATTTTATTTGTTGGTTGCAAAAGCTTGAAAATTTAATAGAAGGCTCCTAATATGTTGTTTCAAAGGCAGATGAAAAATATTAAAAATTCTTAGTCACAATTTTTTTTTATAAGCATTTAAAGTTCAAAAATTGACAAAATATGGAAAAATCACGAAAATTAGCAAATTATTTTGAGTTAAGAATTCGTAAAAATTTTTCTTTTTAAATCTAAGATTTGAAAATCTAATACAAGATTACTCATAAGATTGTCTACCTTTATCAATAAAAAAATCTCTACCGGAAAGTCAAATTAAATTTTTATGAGCGTTTGAAATTCAAATTTTTACAACATTGGATATTCACTCGATTTCTCATGTGGCAATTTCCTTTTTTTGTTGTAATTAAAAAACGAATTACTGTAGATACATGAAAATTTCACTGAATGTTTATATTAGCATTTCCTATACACCCTACAATTTTGAAAATATTTTGACACTTTTTGAGCCGTTTACGGACATTTTCAGTTTTCAATTTTTTTAGTTTTTTTTTTCTATAAATATCAATTAAGTTTTATCTGTTGGGCCAAAAAGTGTAAAAATTTAATACAAGGCTCCTGATATATTGTTACAATATCAGTTGAAAAATATTAAAAATACATAACCACAATTTTTTTTTATAAGCATTTTAACATCGAATTTTGATAGAATTTTTCAAAATCTCGAAAATTATTAATCAACGTAATTAATAAATTATAAAATGTTCAGTTTTTATAGCTAAGGATTGAAAATTTAAAACAAATGTTCTCATAAATAGTTCATACTGTAACCAAAAAATCTAAAAAATATATGAACACAGTTATTTTTTACAGACATTTTAAATTCAAATTTGGACTAAATTACATTAAAAAAACCTAGAATAACTATTTTAGTTATTTTGTTGTGATTGAATAATATTATTCGTGGGTACTTGAAACTTCTAAAGTGTACTATTATATATCTATGATAGTATCACTTTTTTTTATGTATAACGCGTTATAAGTACCTAATGGATATTGTGATAAGATTAATTTGGAATTTATTATAGGTCAAATTTTGGTTTAGTACCATAGATATGTATATAATATGTCGTATACCTAGACTGACATACCGTCTCCGCTCAGAATTGTTTTTCTTATACAATGATATTATATCGTTGAATTCAAATTTAATATAATCCATTATACAGTGACCCACTTGTAACCTACTGTACAGCATAGCGACACCCACTTACCCACCTTTTTTTTAAATGTAGTGCGCTATTTCTAACGCTATTGTTTAAATGTAGCGTGCTACTTTTTCGCTAAATTTTTTTAAAAATTGTTTTTGTTTATTTACATATTCACTTGAGTACTTGTTCATTATTTGTTAATGCCTACCACTATTTTCTTGTAATTTCGGAAGGCAGGTTTATTAAGTGTAACTCATGTATTTTTGTAATAAAAATCAAAACAAATAAACGTTTTATTGAAAATTGCTAACTAGTTGAATATGACGTGGTGGCTTCAGGTTCTGTCATTTTTAATTCAACTATTCAAAATATTTAAAATTTAAAAGAAACACAGAAAAGTAGAAAACAAAAATAGTGATAATAAAATACTAATATATTAAATATTATTTATCGTTCTGTTTTCAATAATATAAAATATTACATTGTAATAATGCACTGTTTATGATTATAGTCTAATGATTAGACTATTTGATTTTATATAATTTATAATTTTAACAATTTGTGCTAAGACGTCAGTCAATGTTTTGGGCATTTTTTTTTTTTTTTGATGCAAGTGCTTCTCGATGTATAATGCAGTGTGTCTACTTTAAATTGGAACAATGTCTTTTACTAATTTTATTAGGCCGACGTGTTTTCCAGTCATAGCAGCTGCCCCATCAGTTGTTATAGAAATACAATTTTTTAAATCTACGTTATTGTTAGTAAAAAAGTTCACTAACGTGTCAAAAATGTTTTTTCCAGTAGTTTAAGTTTCAAGTTTTGAGGAGAAGAGTATATCCTCGTGGATTTTGTTCTTATAAAAATACCTTACATATGTAAGCAAAATCGCTTCGTTTGCAATATCGGTGCTCTCCGAATGTAGGTAATTATTAAAAAATTATTTTTTTACCTTTTATAATTTTAAAAATTTTATTTTTATTTTAAAAAGAAGACCTATCGCGACCCAATTTTAAAGCTTACGCGACCCAAAAATGGGTCGCGACCCACCGGTTGAAGACCACTGGTCTAATCTATCCGGTCTTATCTTAGTCTGGTCCGGGCTAAACCCGAAAAAAACAAAAATACACTTATATTGTCATCTCAATTAAATAAATAAATATACATCATGATATTTTAATTATCATGAAATAAGTTAGAAGTAGCGATAAAATAATGAACATTTTCGCTACGCTAACCGTACATTTCTAGCTTGCTATAGTATTTCTCTACATTGTATATACTGTAGCGACGCTATGTTAATCGCTACAGCTAAAGTAGTGTGCTACTGTAGCGTCGCTACAATTAGCGCGCTACTCCCGACCACTGCTAGTCTGTATAGGTCGTGATAGATATTGTATTATTACTATGTTACTATTCATTGGTACTATCACACATTCACACATATTAATCGGATTCAATTTTATTTTATGCCGTTTATGCTTTTAAGAATTTTTTTTTTTTTCTTTATTTGAATTAAACAATCTATACAGTTTTTGCACAATAAGTTTATATGCTGAGAGTTATTTAAAGATATGAAAGTTTGTGAGTTAGATCCTTACTCGTTAGCTTATTATTATTTATTACCTATATCATTATTCAAACAGAAAATTTCGTTTCTTTAATATAAATTCTTAAAAACACACTATTATAATTTATATTTTTTTGAACTAGTGTGTGTATCTTAGTGTGGTATAAGTATAAGTATAATAATGTAAAAAATTCGATTGGGTTAGTCTCGGCACTTCGAAAAATATTTTGCTACAGGCCCTTAATTTGTTATGGTGGCTCGATGGCCCATAATATATTGGTCACGTATTAATATTGATAAATAATAATGACTTTATCTCATCTGTTGACAGTATAGTAGTATATAGCTGTCATAAAAATTTTAATGTGATATTGAGGCCATTTTATATTTTCATCCTACCAGCACAAAACGTTAGCAGGCCTCAGAGGCATCTTGATCATGCATTTTGTGGCTCACTGAACCACCAAAAAGTTGGCGTGGGTGTCATTTTAATAGGTAGGTATGCCTGGTCTTGGTAATCAATTTCCGGCAAAGCCGTATAGGTAATATTACAAGAATGGTTTATTTGATGGCCAGTTCATTATTAGTAACAAATAGATACAAGCACATGCCTACATTAACAATCAACTGACGAAGTTATAGACAGATTTAGTGCTTTAAGACGAAAATATAGTCACATAAACTATTAAGTATGAGACAATGTGAAATTATTTTGTTATTCGAAAATCGCAATGATTTGTATACTAGAATTGTATTATAATAATATGGTTATAACTGAACTACTCTCTAATGTGAAATTTGCTGAAATGTAGTCACTTATACTGAATTCAATAACTGATGAGTCAAAGCTCGGCTTATTTGTTTTTGTGTATAAGTGTAATGTAGACGAATTTGAGGTTTTTTTTTTAATTTGAAAAAATCGACATTTTTCGATAACGAATTTTTATTCGTTATAGAAATTAGGATATTTTTTTTCAAATTAAAAAAAAACGTCAAATTTCTTTTACGTTTAAAAAAAATTATTTGAATCAACCCGTTATGAATTATGCTTTTTGGCGATAAGAAAAAAAGCTTATTGCCAAGAATTGACGGTTTAAAATTAAAGAAATTGTTGATATTGATGGTATTAAAAAAATATAGTAGGTATACTGAAGGGGGAATTATTGATTTCACCGAAACTACCTGCTTAGGAAAAAGGTTTATATTGATTCAGCCAGCTACTGTTTATAATACTTTTGTTCATATTTAATAATTTTATATTTTATAATTTAAAAAATAAAAATTTGTGATAATAACGTAAGGTAGATCTCGAACTCTCGACCAACCTTAATTTAAGTATGAATTTTTCTTTTCTTAAGCCAAAGTCTTCTTTATGAATGTTATTTGGCCCTAAATATTTGGTCACATGTCTAAATTGAATAAAATGATAATAATAGTACATCAGTATAAAATAAAAATGTATAAATGTAAATATTTTTGATCATAATATTTGGTCACATGTCTAAATTGAATAAAATGATAATAATAGTATAGGTATAAGTATAAAATAAAAATGTATAAATGTAAATCATTTTTTTCTAATTAATATTATGTATATGATATTTTAAAACGTAATACGTTATAGCAATAGGTACGGTTTAAAATAAAATGTATTTACTCGTGCGCTATAATATTACACGTATACACGCATAATATTATAAGAAACCTGTTGGTTGTAAAAACATTAATTTGGCACAACATCAAAAATAGATTTATAGATTTATAAAATTTATAAATTCACTTATTAACTGTTTCCAAATATAACCAAAAGTAGTTATGCACTTTAATTTTTAACTATACAATTATAATATTTTTATACAATTTAGACTATATACAATTAACAATATATGTATATTCACATACACATATTATTAATTAAATACTAATATTTTAATTTATAGTTGTATATATTGTCCCAATTATACTAAATAGACTATACATATACAAAGGGGGGGATGAACAGTAGCCGGCGGAATCGATATGCCAAATGCGTCCTACTCAAGATGTGTACCCAAATTTATATAAATTGCTATAAAGTAGCTTTCGCTAGCCCTGTTAGTTGCGCAACCAGCAAACGTTCATTATCTTCAATGCGGCGTTTAAAAGCTTGTCAGAGAACAACAATGTGACAAGAACGATTTTCAAATTTATTAATATTATTGAATATAAAGAGAAAACACAAAAACAATTGTTGAAATATTGCAGCAACTAATAGAAAATTAGTATTGATATTTTATTATTTTATATGTACCTACATTTTGTAGTTGAGTAAAAGTTGAATTCAAAATGCGTCGAGGTATATCTATTTATAACTTTAATAAAAATGTTTAATTCACTACCTAGTCGGTAGTCCTATACCTAGTCCTATGAAAATTGATTCGTGTATTGTTAGTAGACAGCCGATATGTTTATATTAGTTAGGCCCTAAGCCCCTAACTGTTAAGGGGTCTGTGCTGCAAATAAAATTCTAACAAAACATTGACCCTAGTTGCGATGATGTACAGCGCGCTAGATAAAACCAATTTTGTTTTATAAATAGGTGTGTAATGTCGACTCGTTCACTTGGTTATTTATTATTGGATACTTAATTACAATATTACTAAGCATGTTTTAAAATTAATAATAACTGTCAAAAAAGTTATAAAAATTAGTTAAGTTCTTGTACCTAATATTATATTTTCTGGTATTAATTATTGTTGAACTTGAACCACCAACTGAAAATATCAAACCGCCTCTGGCAGGCCTACGAGATTTTCCTAACAGCTCTAGGAATGCAAGTGTATTCTGCATTTAATGTTTAACCTGAAGTAAAATCCTGGGACTGCCTATGATTACATTATAATATTGTGGTCATAAAATATTAAAATGTACACCGAGCTAAAATTTACAATATTTAAATCTGAGTAAATAAAAATGTCGAAATTAATTTATTTTAAAATAATCGTGTGAACTTACCGAAAAAAAAGCATCTATAATATCCAATATTGGGTGAAAATTTCCGTAACTTTTCGTTTTTTGAATGTTGAAATAAATAACCAGTAGATACGCAAATACTTGAAAATCCCCAACAATAAATATGGTACATAATGGTACGTACTGATGTTGATGTATTTCTGTTTGTTGAATTGTTGTACCTAAATTAAAATTGTGTTGAAATTATTATATGCAGTTATATGAACTGTTATAATTTGTACTTTTAGCTTATATAATATATATTATTATATATGGTATACTGAACAATGGTATAATACACTATTACCTATAGGTATAATACCATATAAACCAGATTTTGAATTCGAAATAAAATATTTTGATTTCAGTTTTGCTTGTTGATATTATTTTTTCTGATTTAAATTAAAAATAATATATTTATTTTTTAATTTTATTATTTTTATATAATTTTATTTTATTTTATTGTTTTGTTGAATATTTTCTGTTTCTTATTTAAATAAAATCTAATAATCTATATATATATATAAATGGATTACTATTTCTCTTGGTAATAGCATCACGCGTGAACGGCTGGAACGATTTCGCTTATTCTTTTTTAAGTAATACAATTTTAGGAAAATCCACCGGAAAAGTAGAAAATTCGGATGTCAAAAAATACAACAGTTTTGCCATCTGTCCAGACAAAAATAAACTAACTAATAAAAAATATATTTGTGGATTAAAATAATATTAGTGTATTTTATATTGCTTGCTATTAGATACCGGCATGTTTGTTGATTTGTATTATTATTTTTTGTGAATATTTATATTATATATCTTCTAACTATATAAAATAAGTGAAATGAAAAACATTGTACCGAGTGAAATCTGGAACTACTTATCAGATTTTCTTGATTTTGTTTTAAACGAAAGAGTATATCATGGAGAAGGTTTTTATAAAAGAAAATTTTATAAAAATCCACCGGAAAAATAGAAAATCTGTAAGTCAAAAATTCAACAGGGACGCAACAGGTTAGGTTAGGATTTTGTATTAATTGATTATATTAATCTACCATACTTAGAATACGACAAACTTGATATAACTTTGTTACTTTAGAGTTAAATCATATCTACACTTGCGTACAAAAAAACTACCTATATAGCAATTATAGGTAATATAAAGAATATGCTATACTCATAGTTAACTATAATAATGAATAACATAATTTATTAATATACTCCATACAAGGTATTATAGGTAGTATGTACCTATAAATATTCCATTATAATATTAATCATGAATTGTTTCTTTTCTAGGTACATTACTGATACTTAGTAATTTTTTCCCACGACTTTATTTTAATAAATGCTATTTATATATACTTTTTTAAATATACGGCCATAGGCGATAGGTGATTCTCGAAAGTCCAGGAAGGAATGAAAAAACTTAAAATATATAATATATATATATATATATATATATCTAAATATGTTTACTGTTGATATAGGACCACGATCAGTAACTATATTATAGGTATACTCAGGGCCGATTTCACCAATACAGTTAATCACGGTTAAACTTCGATTACCTACGCATAATCAGCTGATTACGTATATTTAACCGTCCAAATTCGGTCGGTTAAACTCCGGTTAACTTTAACAGTGATTAGCTTTGATGATGAAATAGGTCCTTATAAAATTATATACACTTTTATTATATAGTTATTAAAATAACCTACCTTTAAATATGATAAATGTTATCCTGTACCCGTATAATGCTGATAGAAAATGACTTATAAGTTTATTGATAATTATCAGCTAACTTATTTGTGGCTTAGAAGTTTATATCACCACATAAATATACAGTAGGTATTTACACATTAATGTTTTACACATTTTATTACCATATTATGTAAGAATATAATTTACATACCTTAACATACAGTAAATATCGAAGCATATTACGTTCAACCAGCAACATGTTGTCAGAGTTGCAAATAACATAAAATAACCTAAAATTATAGTTTCAAACAAACAAAAGAATAATTAATAGTAAATATAATGTGGAAGCCAATACATTAGACAAATAATAACGGAAATATTTATATTTGTTGTCGCTTAGTTTTTAGATGCATGGACAAGTAGTTGCGTGAAGTTGCCCCCTCCCTACATTAATATTTTCACTGTGACTAAGGATTTCTAATATTTTTCATTTGTCATTGAAACAATATATTAAGAGCCTGATATTAAATTATCAAGCTTTTTTACCCAACACATAAAATTTAAAGAAACTAAAGAATAAAAACTAAAAAATTGGAAACTGAAAATATACTTAAACAGCTCAAAATAATATTATTAAAATGGTATGGTGTATAGAAAATGCTAATATAAACATTCAGTCGAAATTGCATGTTTCTACAGTCATTCGCTTTAGAGTTACGCCAAAAACCAAAGTTGATTTTGCAATATTGTCGAAAATCGATTTCACGTAAAAATTCCCGTTTTTCCTTTATTTTTAATTTATTTATCACGACACTTTTGAAAACTACTGGACAATTTTTACTTTTGACTCTCCAAAGTACCAACTAGATTCACTTTCTTGTCAGAAAAGATACTGTTGAAGAAAATAAGCACTTTTACTGTCTTAAACGGTGATTCTTTTTTTTATGAATGCCAATAATATTTATTTGTTGGCTAAAAAAGCTTGAAAATTTAGTACAGGGTTTCTAATATATTGATTCGATGGCGTTTGAAAATATTAAAAGTCCTGAGTCACAGTTTTTTTTTACAATTCTTTAAAATTCAAATCTTAACAAAATAGGTAAAATCATTGAAAATTATTTTTAACTGAGAATTTATAATTTTTTTTTTTTAAGTCTTAAATTTGAAAATGTAATACAAGATTCCTCATAAGTTTGTATACCTTTATATAAAAAAAAAAAAACAGGTAAGACCTACCGATTGGAATGCACAACGTGTTTTTTCTGTCTTCCTGTACCAATAACGAATAGATCATTATGCAGACCAAGTACACGAGGTGGCAGGCCATGTAGAACATGACGTAGTAGCCGTGGGTATTCCGGAGGTAAGGTAGTGTGGCGTACACGATCAGCGTGAGCACCAGGCACACGACAGACAGGGTTTTAACCCAAAAGAGGAAACTGACCGGTGGTTTGGCCTCTGAGCACACCAACGCCATCAGATCGGCGGCCTCCAGTGTCCCGTCCTTGGCGTAATAGTCCAAGCAGTACTTCGTTTCCGGTATGATCCATTTGACGCCTTCGTGGATAAGGAAAAGGTTGCCATCAGTGGTCAACGTGAGCCTGCTGATTATCATATTCAAAGCAGTACACGAGGATTTGTCCCAGTTCAACGGTAGCACCGTCTTGTTCGACAGGCCAGCCGGACTTCCGCCTGCGTCTGTTTCATAGGCGGAAAACTTGAACGGCATCTCGCTTTCTTCGCACCTCAATTTTCCCCTAAAATATCCAATTCTTCGTATTACACGAATAGTCTTAAATCGGTTAAATCTAAATAAAAATCAATGCTCTAAAAACCAGCACCAATTATACTTCTTCAACTAATAACACATGATATAAATTAAATAACTTTATACCTATACATTTATTATTTCACTACTGAGAACAAAATTAAATTATTTTTAATTAATTTATATATTGATTTACTCAACATTAATAGCTACATGTTCAGCAATTATTTTTACTAGGATTAATTGAAGTTACCAAAAAAACATAACACCAGTCAATGAATAATATAAATTTACAATCAATTACTTTAATGTTGCTAATTTAATAAATCAGTGATTTTTTTTTAGTGTACAATATACATATAAATAAGAATATATAATATTTAAAATAAATAAATACATTTAAATTATCCTAAGTATGCAAATTTTTTGTAATATAAAGTTTCCTTAAATAGAAGTTTCTTAAAGGGAGGTAGGTATTTGAGCCCACAATAAGCCATAAGTAGTATTTACCAATTACTTTTATTAAACATATATTAAATGGGGGGGGCTTAGTGCCCTCAAAATCACTTAATGCCCCCTCAAAAAATAATAACATAATATATATTATAATAAAAAAAAAAAATTTAAGCCCCTAAACTTTTTTCCTATTTGCACCACTGAGTGACACCGCTATGTGTTATAAAATGGCTACTCTCAATAACAATGAAATACGAATAATAATATCTAATAATTAGTAACAACACAAAATATTGTTAAATGCGTAGGTACCTCATATTTACTGTGTGTGTAGAATGTAGACAATAATTAAAATGTAGTTTGATAAAAATTAAAAAACCATTAAAATATAAATATAAATGTGGACCTCTAAAACTATACACAATATTATAATATAAGGGATTAATTTGAATAACACACTTTTAAATTTCGTACTACACACTTCAATTTTCATACTGCACAAGGTGTGTGGTACTACATACAATTGTAGGGACTGATCTCAACTCACTGTTGTACCTAGGCTATATTAAACTCGTTAGTGTAATTATAGGGGAGAGAATGCTCCGGTGCAAAGTAACATTAATTTATAATTGTATTTATAATGGCGATGGCAATGGCTATTTCAATTGTTTCTTTTTACAAGATTTAAGAAACATTTAATTAATACGTTGTCATTATTACCTAGGCCCGTCTCAATAGGGGGGGGGGGGGGGGTAAAGGTACCACCAGTCCGGCCAAAAGACCCGACTACGGAACAATTGTAAATAGAGCTAGTTAAAATCAAAAAGGAATTATAATAACTAATCAGTAATGAAGGATACTATATTAAAAGTAGGTATATGTATTAGTAGAAGTATTGCTATATTTTGTTTTCATTCTCTATCTGACCTACCCACGCAGTCCAAGCCTGGGCATAAACTCGTTAAAAAGTTAAAAGTTAAGTTAATTTTAACTTTAAACATAACTTTTTAAAATTTAATTTCTGTTAACTCAATCTTTAACTTAACTTATTTTAATTGATATAAACTTAATAATTAACGAGTTACTTTTAATCGAATTCAAGTTAAGTTAATTTATAAATAATAAAATAATAAATATAGTAAAAATAAAAATCGTTATTGATATTACATAAAAATTTACTAGAATAGGGAATTACTAATATAGTTAAATTCATTTCCTGTTCCATTAACCAGAATTCTTCAAGAAAAATAACTCAATAAAATTCATTTAGATATAAGATATACCTACCAAAAGCCAATTATATTATAACATATACCTAGGTGTATCGTATATATAAAGATATACCATACCGTACTGCGGTATACGGGCATATTGTAATAATAATAATTAATAAATACAAATAACTTATAAATAAAAATATGATATTATTTTATTTTATTAATACCTATAGATACAAATCAAAAATGTTTTATTCTCAAACACATATTATTGTAAAATATTTTCGGCATAAATAAATTATTTTTAAATTAAAACTAATTGCGTTATGCTCATGTTTATTTATATTTCAACTGTTTATATTTATAAACAGCCAATATTGTCAGTAGACAATATAGTCATAGCTCACATGGGTTCACTTTTCGTTCTCAGCTCTCTCAGCACGCAAGAATTACAATACCGTGTTTCAGTTTTTGTGTAACTATTAATACATAATATGTAATTATCAGTGTCCAGTGAAATACGTTTATTTTTTTTTGATTAAATTATTAAATTTTAGAATTTTTAATTCTCTCAATATATTATATAAAATATTTTATTTGATTAAAAAAAAACCTGTGGAAGTCTTTGCAAAGGAGATATAAACGGTGTTGGTGAAGGTACTTCGTTGTTGAGACCAGCAGCTCACCGAATTGGATGTGTTAAATTTATCGTTGATTACAAAAAACGATTAAAATAAAATAATGATTTATCCTCAAACAATTTTATTATTTTGCTGCGATTTAAAAACCAATGAACAATTTATTAATTTAATGGTTCAACAAAATGTATTGGTTCAATCATGTTCAAGGGATAATTAGCTAATTATTGATTCGTTAGGTAAATGTTTTGTAATAATTGTTCATACAATCCGGCATTAAAATCGCAACATAAATTAAAAATGTACAAATTATTTTGTGAATAAAAAGTTATCATTTTTAATTTTTATAAACAACATTTTTTTTCAAACTGATAATACAAAGTTTCTCATTAGTTGTATTCTTACAACGACCATAAAATATCAAAAATACATTTTACACAAAAACATTTGTAAAGATATTTCAATTTTTTACGAAATTATTCTAAGTACTTATTTAGATTAATCTTAAGCAATTTACACCATAAAGGCATGAACCAATTCACATCGTTCTACAATATTTATCTATGTTGGAATTTGCTTGTATAAATTAATAATAGCTACCTACCTAGTTTAGTAATATTTTTAATATTTATTACATAGGTACAACACAAAATTTGTGTTTTTTTTTTAAATTTGCTTTAATTGCCTTATTCCCGACTAACAGAAAAATAAATTACTCATAGCAACGAAATAACAATGCTTGTAACAAAATATATTTAGTAACACAATAGGCCGACAGACTCATGTAACCACTTCCAATCATTTTTATCGTATACCTACAATGAATCATTGGTCATTGAATTCAAATATTTTGAAAATTTAATCGTGTATTGAAAATAGTAATTTAAGTAAAAGTAGAATGTTTCAAGATACAAAAATTGATTGTACGGAAATCTTTGTTTTACGTGTAAATATTATCAATTATTATAATTTGAACATTGAAAATCATAAACAATGAATGTGCTTTTACTTTAAATTTTGTTTTTGTTTAGTTTTAAGACTTTTGTCAATTTTAAAACCCCAAACACTCATAAAAAATAAAATATGGTTTGGGAACAACCTGTTAACTTCTTACGCGTGCGTTATTGTTGTAGATACTTAAGTATTAGATATAATTAATTTTTATAAATTAATTAATAAATGAGAAAGGAATTATTGTTAAAGTCGTATACAGGAGTGGGGTGAGAGATGCTCTTGGGTGAGAGGAGATTTAGTGGTTGTACATTCAATCAGTCATACTAATAAGTTTAGGTATCTAGAGAAAATAAATATATCTTGTATCACAAGCTCATGAAACATGATACATGGTAAATGTTTACCCAAAATGTATAGTTATATGCATATAATGCAATTAGTAGATACTAAATACCTACTATTGATACTATAATAAGTTTAATAACCAGCATTAAAAAAAAGAAAAAAACCTTTTTTCAAATCATCTTGAACAATATTATTCCCTGTGGATTTCGGACTTTTTCTTCTTCACGTTGGTAAACCCAAGGAAACATGTGACAGAGAAAGTTAGTAAGTTTATATCAAATGCGGAATATCCATTATAATTCTGTCTTTTACAATAGCTATAAATTAGATCTAATTCGACCCCAAGTTGTTATGGAAATATAAAAATCTATTATAATTAATAATTATATTCTAAAATATATCGTTAAAATTTGAATAACTATATTTGATTACTCTATTTGAATAACTATATCACCATAGCTCCATATTATTGTTTTTGTGAACTGTGAATACAGAATAACAATTTCAATTATTTTATCTTGTTGATCAAAATTGCAGATCTATGAGACTGTATGTTATGTTGTAAAATACCCGAAAACATGCAAACTATTATACTGCATAATACTTCTTACCTAAAATAATATGCAGTTTATACCGTTCTAAAATAATTTCGGTATACGGGCGAAGCTGATTAATTTTAATATGTATATTGACATATTGTATAAAAATTACCTAGTTATTTCGTTGAAGAATTCTCTTTTATTTATAATGTATTATTTTATTCGAATTAGATAAACTCAACCCTGAGCATTAAGAGGATGTCAATGAACCATTTGTTTTCTCTCTCTCTTACCTTATTTTTAAGATGTTCGTAATTACTAGGGGAAGGTTTTTAAGAAAGAAAATTTTAGGAAAATCTACCGGAAAATAGGAAATCTGGATGTAAAAAATACAACAGTGGCGCCATCTGTCCAGACAATCTGTCCTGTGTTTTGATATTATATGTACCATAATTACGTAAATATTGAGCTTATTATACTCGCATATAAGTTACGTACATAAAACAATGCCACGTCTTCGTGGATGAGGAGAAAATACTGGTCGACTGACTCGGCACTCATAATTAGTCCAGCCGTTTAGGAGGAGTTCAGTGACATCAAGTAGGTATAACTTTGATACTTCACAGTTACATTATAAAGTTACGTAATAAGGGAAATAAAAAATTCATCGTTTTTCCTCGATCGTTATTATGTTGGTACCGCTGACTTGTATTAAGTACCTATTTAATATTTATATTCCAGCCAAATACGTCTACAGAACATAAGTGAACCTGAAATTAATTGTTGGCATAGGTACATGTTTTTTAAGACAATCATAGTCACAAAATCAAAACTGAAAAACATTTAAAATAAAATTGAAGTAGGTATGAAATGGATATAATATTATATTGTATATAATAATCTGGGACAGGTTTTCGATTCAAGTCCAAACCAGTAATCCCAGTTGTTATAACTTATAATATTATATGATAATATGTCTACAAAAATGTAATGTAGTAACCCTGACGATTTACCAGTGGAATCGCGCCAAAATTGTTTTCAATTTATAACCATGTATGTGTCAATTTATAATTTATACTTTATACTAATTTTAATGTAATCAGCAATCAAAACAACTTAAATAAAAATAAAGATAACAAAATTGCAAATGCTAAGTATTTTTAAAATTATCGCACATTTTGAGTGAAGCAGCGATCAAAAAGATTGATAAATAATATATTTATCAAATCTACCTATATATATTACAGGCCTCTAAGAGGTAACATACTACACATTATGCTATTGTAGTACTGACTGCAAGCGCAAATTGTATGGAGTCGCCGTCAATTATAGTAGATAATATCGTTTTTCCTATCTCAAAAAAATTACCACACTGTAAAAATCAAAACAGTATTTTTTATGGTTATTTTATTTTCAAATTTGGACGAAATTGGATATTTAAACGATGAAGAACGATTTTCGTTTTGTATTATATTTAAAAAATTATTATTTGTGGGTACTTAAAACTTCTATAGTATAAAAAATTAACACCATGCATTTCAGATATAGACTTGTAACCTTGTAACCTACTCTATACAGTGAAGAGACTTAAACTTATGTGCTTTTTTGTTTTATGAATAACATTTTTTTTTGCTAGTAAGATCTTTGAAATATCAATACAAGGGTCCTTGAAAGTTTTTCATACAGTAATTATAAATATAAAAAATACAATTTTTTTTTTTAGAATCACCAAAGTCAAAATGTTTATTCAATAATTAAAACCATGGAAATTCGCAAATTATCATTTACTTACCAAAAATACAATTCATACTATTTTTATGACCTTATATTTGAAAATCTAATACTAGATTCCTTAAAAAATTATTTATTGGAAATTAAAAAAAGAAGTTTATTGTTAAATTCAACACTTTAATTTAGCCCTTTGCTATTTTTGTCAATATTCTACAAATATTCATCGTATCTTGAAACAATTCATTGTTATTAAATTATGACATTCTATACTGAATTAAATTTCCAAAACATATAAATAATTATTTACATTTATAGGTATTTTTTAAGTTTTCATAAAAAATATTAGGCTCTCTGAGATACTTTACAATTTGATACAAGATCCCACATACATTTTTCCCTATGTAGTTGAAGTATATTTAAAAATAAAATATGTGTACTTAGGACTTCCTAATGAAATACTAAGTTCCTCTAAAATATTTCATCCTGGGACCAGAAATACAATAAAATATAGACATTGAAGTTCAAATTTATATAACATTAGATATTTAAATGATGAATAACGATTTTAGTTATTTCGTTGTTCTAATTAAAAAATATTGTTCGCTTGGACTTAAAGCTTTTATGTATATTATTTTATTTTACTATATTATTATGGCGTTTTCAAAATATTTTTATTCATTTAAAGCTGATATTTTAAGTTTATTGGGTATTTATACGTTGGGTTCAACACGAACCCAACACAGTTGACCGATCTACGGAAAGTAGATATGATAATAACAAATATATAAATATGTATATATAAGTACTAGGCGGTAACTTAACATTGATGCAATTATAACAATTAATAATAATATAATTTAATAAATGTAATATTTTCACGGGAATGAATTCAACCTTACAGCAGAGTGGTTACCAGTTACCTTCCAAATCCTCACATTTTACATTTTTACTCCTACCTAAGGATCTACCCCTCAGACAAATTATATATGTATAGGTATTAGCTATCATACATAAACATGATTGTACTTCGGCGACACTTTAAAATGACAAAATACCAGATGGTACCTGGCAACTATACCACAAACACGGTGGATGCTTTCTCCGCGTATAAAATTCATTGATAAATATTGCTATAATCTACATAATACTTAAAGGTATAATAATATTTATGGACATTTTTACAAAATATATTATACCACCCGACACCCACCTCTTAAATTAGGTCTGGAACTTGCCAGACTTGAACCATGTCCTCGGCCTCACTGTGTGTATATACACACAATCAAAATATTGCCAATCAGGATAACTCCTAACTTCCACCATCCGTTTCCCGCCAAATAACCACGGCACTAGATATAGCTGTCGATACGCTCAGTATAATCGCTATGTACTACTTTAAACTTACACATAGGACGCCGTGTACTTACAAGTTGGGGTCGTAGACCATTATATCTCCGTTATCGCAGCATTTGTTGACGCATGTGTAATTGCCCCGGCCGCAGTACTGGTAGCGTGGACGTGCCGTCCGGGCCACCAGCTCATCGGACGGCGTCAGATCGAAGCAGTAGCCCGACGACAACTCAATGAGCGACCGGTTCGCCTCCATCAGCCCAGGCATCTCCTCGGCGGGCACGTCGACCAGCACGTCTTCCTCGTCGGTCCAATATAACTGACTGTAATGGAACATCTCCAACGTCTCATCGGCTGCCACCCTGAATCCGAGCCGTATTCGATTCCTCAACCTCTCCTGGTACTCGTCAACGTCCGTCCCGACCGGTCTGCAGAACCGCGCTTCCGGATCGTACATCCGACCCACCGGGCAACACTTCCTGACCTCCACGGTATTATTCGTGGAGGACGCGACTCTGCCGCCGATCGCGACAACGAGAAACGCCACGGTGGCGGTGAAACACAATCGGATGGCATTCATTGTGTGTGCACACTGTTCGGGCGGCGTCAGCACATCCACTATTGCGACTGTCGGCATCCGCGTACTGTGTCATCCAGTAATGAAGACCACTCGACGAGCAGCCGCCGCCGCCGCCGACCGCCGCGCTCTTGTATTATAATATTATAAAAATGTAATATAGTGGTTTTCGTACCCTACCTAATATTATATTATTGTGTAATGAATTTCGATTATTATTTGCATAATGTTAGGTTTTACGAATAAATTTTCAATATGATAATTAAATACCTATATTATTTCTGGGCAGGTTATCACGTAAATTATAAGCACAACAAAAACACTTCGTCGAACTCCGTTTAAAAAAACTGCGAAGTAAAAACCACATCTTTAAGCACTATAAATATGTGATATTGTAAACATAATGCCGAGTAAATTAAATTAAACCTTATGGTAAAAATCGAAGCGTCAGGGTGTAAAAATTATACCGGTATAAAGTTAACTCCTGGGTTAAATTAATATACTAGGATATAGTTACCCCAAGATTAATGATGTTTTATTTTATACAGTTTATACAAAATTCATCAAAAATATAGAAATTTGTAAATTATTTTGTAATTTATAAGCTGTTTAGTACCTACTAAGAGGACGTTGCACAAGCGAATCTAGGAAAAAAAATCCCCAAAGCTATAACTAACCATACTGTTGGGTACAGCTGTGAAAAATAATAATTAATAATAATAATAAATATCCCTATGTGCAATAACGCGAGGTTCACATCTATGCTAAGTCCCCAAGGGATGTAAAATGAAAGTGCATATTTGAACTTCTATTTGCCGTGAAATAGACTAAAGATGATTATAAATAATTATTTGTCGCATATTAAGTCGCAAAGACATCGCGATAAGAAATCCCTGAGACAACACTTATGTGACTTTATATAGTAGTTACAATATTCAATTATTAATAATATTATATCTCAGAGAAGTCGCATAGACATCACAAAAAAAAGATCTATCGGAATATTGTTATAATTTTTTAATAGGTTGGAATAAAAAATATTACAGTGTGGCTATTTTTATCTTTAACTTGCATATAGTACCTATAGGCATATATGCATTTTAAACAATATATTTGTTATCTGTCTTGGCGCGTGAAGGGATTTACAAATACTAAAGTGTAGTTTATTTAAAAATAATTATTTATGAGAAAATAAAAATATGTAAGTAATTTGTTTTGTTTACCTACTATTGTTATCTATATTGACTACCTACCTATATTATACAGTATACTTAATAGTTAATTATAATAATTTAGGTACTCAATTTTAAATTAAAAGTTACATATTATGTCAAGACAAATTAAGACCACAAATAGATCCACAATAAAGCACCAGTTGTTTATAAAGGTCAATTTAAATGTTCCTTTTCCAACCATTCTGCAAAATGAAAATATACTAAATGCATAACTATAACCAAACCCAGATTAAAACAATATTGGGCCAGGGCCAAACAATATTAGGGGCCCATAAACATAATCAAAATATTGGTGACAAACAATTAAATATATTTTTTTACTATATAGGTATATTTTATTTAACTATTTAAATAATTTGTATATAAAAATGTTTGAAGTGTTTGAATAATGGACATAATAAATTATACATATTATTGTATATTATATTATGTGTTCATTATTCTAGGCAATATTCAAAAGTAGGTACTTACAATTGATAATAGTTTCATTGTCTACATATATTTTCATTTGAAATAGGTTGGTACCTACTATGATCTGTAACTATAACATTTGTAATTGGTTTATCAAGAGAAAAAAATCCAGTTATTTTTTTGCACTTAAACGAGGATGTTATTAAAAAATCATCCTTTTTTTTTTTTTTGAACACCGCTTAAATACTTTTAACAGCCACTCATATTCGATTTTGATATTAAAAATGTACTACAAATTTCAATACTTATAAGTTATATATTATATTCGTAAAACAAAACACTAAAAGTAACCACTGTTAACGTTATATTGACTTCGACTGAAGAGTGAAGATTGTACAAGAGACAAGACTAAAATAATTTTTTTGTTTTCGTAGAAAAACAACGTTAATAAAATTTGTTTGGTTAGTGTTAGTGAGTAATAACTATTTGTAATCGACGGTATATTCACCTTACTATTCTTATAAATCCCATTTCCTTACCATTATCGTCCTGCTAAAAATAGATGGCATTGTCGATATGACGATACCATAATAATAATAATGATAACAAATAATCCACTATCGATGTATATTAATTAGCATTTAATAAGAAAAGTTGATGCGTATTATTCAAATATTTCAAATTTAATAAAAAAAAAAAAAAAAACGTACTATAGGCCAATAAGGACCCACTATTGTTTAATATCCATTGTGGTCTATAACACTATAGTCTTAATATGACATATTGCATTAAACTATTACATTAGTAGGTGTCCCAGTAGGTTAGGCGTAGGTCTGTTAGAACTAGGGTAGGTGGTTCGATACCGTGTCAAGCCAAAAATATCCACGTATCCTCGCCTCTTTTTTTTACTTTTTTTTCCTGGATTGACTGTATGTGCACTCTATGCGAAGTAAGTGAGACGAAAATAGTTAGTCCCGTGTAAATCAACCTGATTTACCTATGAATGTTACAATGTGACGTAGCATAGAACATTGTATTGTGACATCGCATGCAGTAACTTCGCGAGACTTGGCATTAAGCGTGCCAGTGACATCTCTGGGTGGTCATTGAGCACAAAAACACAACCTCTCATGACTCAATGGGATCACTGTGTTACATCTCAGAGATTGAATATTGCACAGAGGGTATATACAATTTTAATGATAAACTATTGTATGATATTGCTATATAAATATTTATTTATTTGTTTATTTATAAACGGTTGGGTATAGTCCCTTTGGTAATTAAAATTAAAAGTACGGTAAGTTGAATATCAATTTGGAAATATTATACCTACTAAAGTTAAAAAATATTTCACTATAAATGAGTCAATATTTTAAAAATTAATCGTATTCCTATTTATGAATCTTAAAACATATATCATCCTAAATGATTTTTTAACTAAAGTATTAATATGTAATATACTACAACTATTTTTTTTTATAATAAAAGTCATAACTATAATTAGTTATAACATTATCTAGAGGAAAATTAATAACACCGCATTTATTTATATTTAGTGAGAGGTAATTTCGACAAATAATTGCGATAAAAATGTATTATAAAATAATAAGTATTGTATTAAAATTGAATTTATATTTGTTTATAATTTGCAATGAGTAGTTTTATAACAGCCTTATATTATAAATTATAACATACCTGCATAAAGGCTATTTAATAATTTAAAACTATAAATCAGACATCTATAAAATAAATGAATAAAAGTTGAAAGTTAAAAGCTTATTAAAAGTGACAATAACCGCATTTTAAACCTACGGGCTACGAGTAATACCAAAGTATGCGTCTAACCGGATTTTATAATATTATTTATTATTTAATTTCAAATTTCAACATTCAAGATTAACTTAAGCCAACACTTCGCTTGCTTCATTCTCCTCGGTAACTTGTTGTTCATCATTTTCTGTTTCTTCTTGATTTTTTGAGGAAAATTTTGATTTGCACAGTTCAGGAATAGTAAACCTTTTCAACTCTGCAAACAATAAAACCCATATTTATATTTATTTATTATCTGACTTTTTTTTTATTATTAATAAAAAGGTAAAATATAGCAAAGACATTAATGTTAATGGGTTTATGCATAAATAAATTAAATAAATCGTATAATAAATATTGGTACATATTATATAGGTAAAGTAAAAAAAAAACTATATTTTGATGTAGAGGTTTTTACGGTTTTTTCTGTTTAAAACCCATTAGATATTTTATCTATGGTGTACGTAGGTAATAACTAATAAGTTACAAGATAGTTATTACTTATTAGTTATAATAAATATATATAAAATCGTAGACCTATAAAAGCTTATCAATGCTAAGAAATAAGAATATTATTATGTGTACAACAGAATTGTCATAAAATAAATACCAAAAATCCAAATTTTAATTTCCATGTAATCTATACCAATATTATTATTGAATCGAAAATCACAATTCGCCATAGCTGATGTAGAATTTCTGAAAATAATAGCAATTTGGACGTTTATATGTGTTTCAGAATCAGAATTGTTGTCATATAAATGTTCAATTATAATTGTTACCCTAATAAGGCTGCAGTGATAATATTAATACCTAAACCTAATGCCCAGTATCCTCTTTACTCTATAATATGCTCTGTACGACACTTCGACCGCACCTACTATTGAACTGTTCATCAGTCTTCGTTACAATTATATTATATTGCTTACATTTATATTTTTAAGTTATAAATTATTATATCAAACTGAAACATGGGCCGCCCAAGTGGGTCAAAAATGCATTCTTATAATATTTTTAATAATAATTTTTTATTTATTTTAAATATTAAAATGTATTTATTTATTTTGATTTATTATTTTTAATAATTAATCTTTTGTAATATTACCAAACGATTTATTATTTTTAATAATTAATCTTTTGTAATATTACCAAACGATTTATTATTTTTAATAATTAATCTTTTGTAATATTACCAAACTTCTGAAATAGTTACACTTAATTAAAAAATACCTGTCACTAAATAGAGGTTATTAATATGTTCATTTTTTTATATAGTAGGTACCTACTTAATAATTTATAAAAATAAAATAAAAAAAGTCAAATGATAAGGGTTAAAACCGGTATTAACCCAAACCGAAATTTGATATTTTTAAAAACAAAAACCCGAGCCGAAACCCTAATTTTGGGTTTTTGAGTACCAAAACCTAAACCTAAACCGATAAAATCATAAGGGTTCAATTCTTGATTTACAGTGCAGTCCACAATGTTTATTTTGACAATTTTAACATGATAGTTATTATCAGGGCTCGTGAGTTCATGCTCTAAAAAATGCCTAAATAAGTATGCACTTATGCACTAAAAGCTGGGAAAATATGCATTGAA